ATAGTGTCTCATTTAGCTTAGACTCAACATGTAGCCAAGGCTAATCTTGAACTCCTGATTTCCTGCATCTACCTCCGGAGTCCTAGAATCATAGATGTATGCCACCATACTCATCTGTTTTCCCTTATTAATAAATACCATATATTTCTCATTTCTACCTTAGAAATTTTTCTTGGGTTGGAGAGATGCTTCCATAGTTTAAAAAAATGCATGCTGGACAAGTGTGAGGACCAGAGTTTGGCTTCCCTAGAAACCATGTAAATGCCTGGTGTGGATGGTGGCCCACAACCTACAATTCCAGCTTCAAAAGGTAGAGACAAGATTCCCAGAGCAAGCTGGCTAGCAAGACTGGCAATGTCAGTGAGCTTTGGGTTTGAGTGAGAGCCCTGTCTTAATGAATAAGGTGAAAAGGCCATTAAAGATAATTCCTGACATCAACATAGGCCTCACATGTAACACACACACACACACACACACACACACACACACACACACCATGAAGAGTTGAAAAAAGAACATTTCTTCTGTTTGTAGATTTTATAAGAAACAACTTTAATTAGTACTTTTACTTAATTAGCAAAGACATCATGCTAAAAAAAAACCTACAATAGTTTTTCATTGAAATGAAAGGTTCCTATTGGTTTGGTTCCTTGATCTTGTCAAGAATCTACTAAAGGCTATAGAGACCCAGTTCCTAGAAATGAAGGACACAACCCCATATGTACTATGCCAGTGATTACTGCTGCCCAGTACCCCACCCTTCACTCTGTGCTGAGGACACCCACCTTAACAGGCCCATGGTTTGGGAATTTAATTAGTGCACAATAGAGACAGTTTGTCTTTGCTTCACGATGTCCAGGCACTGGGCAGAAAGACTTACACATCTGTAGAGATTTAGATTTCTAGGGGCAGAATGATCCAGAGGCTTCTGTTACATGTGGATGCTGTCTGGGCTGAGGTGCCAGAAGACTGATTTAGCCTGGAATGCTGTCTCCCTGTGTCATGGGCTACTCAGAGTGGCTCCTGGGTTTCAGGACAGAGGAAAGCTTTCCAGGGACCCAGCTGTAGCTGTGTGGCCTTTTATGACATAGAGTCCAAAACTGTGTGGGATTACTTTGCCACACTTAGTTGGCAGAGTAAACTCAAGTCCACTCAGATTCAAGAGGGAGGAAACCACCTCCCACTCAGAGTCATAAAAGAAAAAATCCAGCCATTAAAAAGACTGCCACATGCAAAACACAAATGTGTTTACTGGAATCCTGACTTCTGAAGACCGAGAGAGGCATCAAAGGACTTTACATCCATCTCTCACTCCACTTTCCTTGCAGCTATCTTCCACCTTCTGCCAAGACCTCTGCACGGGTTTCCTCTGGTCTACTGCTGTCCACGCTTGCCAGTTTGTTCCTCAAGCCTCAGACAGAATGATTCTTCCCAAACATTTCCTACTCCCCAGCCCTCTCCATGCAGCTGAAATCCATGAAGCTCTAGTGGTCCAGCCAACGCCCAATCCTGAGGTTTCACCTCATGCTGTCCACATCACACTTCACGATAGGGCAATTATTGGATACCCTCTTGTATGTCTGTGCATTATGTATGCACACTGCCAGAGGAGGCCGTCAGGTCCCCCAGGACTGGGATTAGCAATGGCTCTGAGCCACCGTGGGCATGCTGGGAATTGAAGCTTGATCTTCAGGGAGAACCGCCAGTGCTCTTAACCGCTGAGCTGTCTGTTCAGCCCCGGGTCCTTGTATTCTTAATTGTGTTTCCTACCACAGGGTCTTTGCACGCATTTATTCTCTGCATTGACTATTTTACTTTCCCTTGTTCTTTGAGAACTCATTTTCTCAGTGGTGCTCTTCCCCATCTCCCTCATCAAACCATACCCTCGCTGTGTTCTCTTAAGGATTGCGCATCTACAGTCTGCAGCTTCAGGAACATATGTGAGAATGTCAATTTTACATCCTTACCTCCTATAGGTCAGTAAATTCCGTGAAGCCAGAGATCACATATTTGTTTTTCCCACACTTGTTGTTGTTGTTTATAACTCATTAGTAGGAGCTAGTCACATGGTGCCACTCAATCAGTGTGGTATTTTAAGAAGTTCTTTCATGAAGCTTCCTGATGGCATGTACTCAGAAGGTGGAGAGATGGCATTAATGAATGTCACGCCAGAGCACAAAGATGGCACATCTCAAAACTATTCATAGATACATCCTTCCCCATGCATCGGGGACTATGCGGGAGAGTAAGGCTCCCTTGGGCAATCCTGAATTCTAGTCGGAAGAAACAAATCCACTGTAAGCCATCATTCCTACTCTAGCCTGGGGTTTTCCATAAACCTCCTTTGGTTGTGGCTGGTGACCCCCACTCCCCCCAGCATCCATTCCTCCTCACATTTGCAACATGTTTTTGAGAGAACGTCTTGCTAGATGCAGAAACTGCTTGGCTTAAGCATCCTTCTTAGTTACGAGGCTATGTCTTGGAAGCAAGATGAGTTTTGGGTCTTGCAGGTCAGACCCACAGAACCATTACATGGTTATAAGGAGCCAATCAGGCTTAGGACGGCTTCCTCAGAAGACAGTGGTCTTCTTACAGAATATAACAGCATCCCATTGAGGATTGTGTCAGTATGGGCTTACACCCTGACAAATCCTGAAAATGACCTGAGGCCAATTTCTTATATCTGAATCCCAACATTGGGAATTTTTTTAAAAATAAGAATACAGAGCTGAGAAGACGGATCAGAGATTAGGAGCACTTGTTGCTCTTTCAGAGGACCTGAGTTCAATTTCTAGTACCCACATGGTGGCTCACAACCATCTGTAACTTCAGTTCCGGGGGATCTGACACGGTCTTCTGTGGGTACCAGATAGGCATGTGGTAGGCATGGGTACAAGAAGGCAAAATATGCATATATATAAATAAAATGAAATAAAAATAATTAAAAATTTTTATTAAAAACCCACAAGAACACAAAGGATCAAAAGGAATATGTCCACGTGTTCTTATTCGGAGTGGAAAACCTCCATCTATGCTTACTTTTTCACATCTCACAAAGGAAATTGGAAAAGCCATTTGAGAAGACAATTTCAAATTAGCTTTTTTCATGGAGAGGATGTTGCTTGTTTGCAAAGCTTTCATGTAGTAGGACTTTCTCCAGTTGTTCACTTCTTTGGTTGGCAGAACGGTGCAGGAGAAAGACAACCTGGAGATGCAGCCTGGCATCTGGCAGGGAGGACCCTCATACCCGACCTGCTTCTGTGCTCCTCCAGCGGAGGGTGTCCTCTCTGCGGGCCACAGCTCCACTTACATTGAATGGACAGGCCCAGGCTGTAGCCAGAGCTTATTTGTTTAGTGATTTTCTGCACTCTGCCCGCCCCTCCTCCTCCACGTGTTCATTTGCTCCCCATAGTAGCTGTGTGGAATAGTTCCGCTGTGCCCCTTGTCCTAATATGTGCAATGAAGGCCAGAGGCGCATGCTCAGCTCTGGGAGGCCGAGGATGTCTATCAACCAGACTCTGAATTCCTAATAAATGGTTTCTATCGAACGGTGCCAATGTTTTAGCTAAGAATGCAGAAAGCTCTACAAGTACCATTCCTTTCTTTTAAAACTCTTAAAGCCTTAGGGCCCGAGGAGACACTTGGTTGGTAAAGTTCTTGTCTCTGAAGCACAAGGAATTGAGTTTGATCTCCAGAGGCCAGTCAAAAGCTAAACAAGCTGGTGCATGATCATAATTCCAGCATGGAAGAGGTGGAGACAGGAGGATGAGTCCCTGGGGCCCTCTGGCTAGCCTGTTTGACAAATTCCAGGACCCAGTGAGAGATCCCGTCTCAAAGGACTGTGGACAGCTCTTGAGAAACAAATGGCATCAAAGGGTGATCTCTCTCTCTCTCTCTCTCTCTCTCTCTCTCTCTCTCTCTCTCTCTCTCTCTCTCTCTCTCACACACACACACACACACACACACGCACGCACGCACGCACGGGGGTGGTGAGAAGAGAAATATTAGCCGAGGATGCTAGCTACCTTCTGTACCATCAGCCCAGAGGAGCCGGGAAGGCGGCATCGTAGAGCAGGACGTGTGCCATCCCATGCTGCCGTCTCCCCCACCTTCCTTTCCACTGCCTCCTCACCTTTCTGCTGGGGTGCCACGCGTGGTGCTGGCAGTTCCAGTCTCAGCAGGTGCTACTAGTGACACCCGGCCTTTTGAGAAGTTGTCTCCTGTCCTAGGTAGGATATGAATAATTTTTCCTTTTGAAATAACCTAATGTGAAAGAAATCTCTTCTGCTCCTTAGACATCATGAACAAAGAACCAGGAATTCTTTTAAATCCAAGAGAAATACATTTCATTGCAGTCGTTTTTTTCCTTGAGATATTGCCTTGAATGTATTTTTCTTGAGATGTATTAGGGACTGAAGAACACGTTCAGACTTCTTCAGGACTGTGCAGTTTGGGTTCTTGGCTCAGATCTATTTTGATGTCATTAGCCAGCTGCAGGTAGCCACATCTGTCTGAGTTTTGTATACTTTAAGCCCGGTAAGGAATAGGGAAAAAATTAAATATATGAGCGTCTTCTATAATGTTGTTCAAAAACCCCTTCATCAGTCAGGCATGGCTGGTAGATGCCTTTAATCACAGCACTGGGAAGCAGAAACAAGCAACTAAGGATGCTTAGCTAACTTTTGTACCATCGGCCCAGAGGAGCCGGGAAGGTGGCATCATAGAGAGTTACATAGAAAGACCCTGCCTCAGAAAAAGAAATCTTCATCAAAGACCAATTTTCGTAGCACTGCTTTGTGGGTTCTCTGCATCACACTTGTATTTACTGATTTCCTTGTTTGCACTGTTTCACAAAGGTGCTCTGATGAGGGGAAGGGCTCTGTGGCGAGGCAGGGCCTGTCTTGCCTGCTCCTTGACTCCAGCACCTGCCTGCTGTAGCAGTGTCTTGATCCCATGCCACACCCCGATCCCATGTCTCACGTGGATACGTTCTTCCACAGGGACAGACAATCTTCAGATACACGTCGCTCCGACCTCAGAGTCCTTTCCTCTCGGGAAATTGTTACCAATTTCACCAACATGGCCTTTCTTGGAAGTCAAGTCTTCCTCAGCAGTAGATGGAACCAAGAATGTTCTGGGACAGCCTCCTGACAACACAAGCGTGTCACAGCTCTCCCAGACACCTCTGTCCAAGGCACGCCACAGGACCAGGGCTCGTGTGGACTTCTCTTCGTCCCTTTACCAAGGAAGTGGACACGGCGCCTCCCTAGACCGTGCCAAGGACTCCACTGAGACTGTGGTCCACGCAGGGCCTGGAGGGGGAGGAGAAGCAGCGGCCATGCCAGGTTTGCCTCGTAGCAGCATGCATCCCCCATTGCCTACAGCTCCATCAGACACCTTCAGTGCGGCTTCCCCATCCCAGCCTCGGGTGGGGACTCCCTCCCTCTCAAAGCATCCCTTGAGGCCAGACAGCCCTCCACGCCTCCCTCCACCACCATCATCTTCATTGGCCCCTGATTCACCTCATTCCATCACCCCTCCCACATCTATAGAGCTTCCCACCAAAGTGCCTTTGTTTCCCCAAGTCACACCAGCTGATTCCTCTTCAGGTCAGAGCCTAGTTAATGTCCTAAACCCATTTTCTCACAAAACAAACCACTTTCCATCCAGAAATGCCTGGACTCCCATAGGTACCCCTCCTCTAGACTTTTCTAGAACCTCAACAGAGCAGTACTCTGAGCTGTCCCTAGCAGGGAGCCCCCACTCAACAGGTTCCCCCACTCCTGGGGTTCTGAGCTCTGTGGCAGAACTGGACCACATGTCTCTCCCTTCCCTAGCCCCTGGAGGCTTTCCAGGTGGAACCTCCTCATGGTCCATGTTGGAAGAGGGTTTGAGTTCTGCATCCACCCAGCCAGTCCACACAGCAGGGGCTGTCAGAGGGAGCAGTGGGGTACCACTGCCAGTTAATCTGAGCACAGCGGCAGCAAGCTATGAGACTTGGCCTCTACATTTCCAGACTGCAGAGTCAGTGATGAGCAGCAGAGAGCTAGCCCCTGTTCCTCCTGCAAATAGCCCCACCAACTGGTCACATTTGTCAGAAGCTCCGGAGCATTCCAGGAAGCCCACCCTCTCCCCAAAACACAGCCTTTCCTCTTTGCTGCCTCCTCTGTCTCCAACTGCACCCAGCCAAGGGCAAATGGTCCCTTCTGAGGCAGCTCCTGGATCACCACAGAAGGGGACAGGTGCCCTTCCCTCCCTGCTTACTGTCCTCCAGCCCACTAGAGATCATGCCTCCCCAGCCCCTGTGCCAGAGGCTTTCACTCCCCATGAAGATGGCCACGATGAATACCTTCCTGAGGCAGCTGTGCACCTCCTCTCAAGCAAACATCCCAATCTTCCTCCTACAATTTGGACATTTCCTCAGCAAAAAGAGGACAGGGTGACGGCCACTTTCAGAAAAAATGAAAAGGCAAAAGGGACAGTTCCTCTGTGGGCCCTTCCAACTAAAGAGGCTTCAAGTCTTCAGGCAGCGAATGGATTTACCTCTGATTTTAACACAGGTCCTATTTCACCTCTCATCAAGACAGCGCTAAGAACAGACCTTTCTCCTTCAGGGCCACCTTCATCATCCAGGCTCTCCAATCAAGCCCCTCAGGCAGGTTCTCCTCCAGGCTCTTCCAGCACCAAGCTGGAGACTCTCGCAGCTGTCACAAGCCTGTCGGTGTTGCCAGCTTCAGCTTCCAAACAGGTGGCAGCATTTCCCTCCTCCACCAAGGTCTATGATTTCCCAACAGTAGGAGGTGCAGGAAAGCCAGCAGCCACAGATGCTTTCTGGAGCTCTCCTTCAGCAGAAGCTGCATCCCTCTCCACACAATCGACCGTATCTGGCTTGCCGTGGCAAACGGATCATGATTTAAACCATCACACAATTAGCTCCATAAGTTGGGAGCCTCATTCAGCCTCAGTGACTCCTCCCAGCGGTACAACTTCAGCTGCCAATGAGAGACAGTCTCAGAATTTCAAAGAGGCTCTTGGGCAGCTAGTGACTACAGACAGCTTTAACTTTCAGGAGCTAGTCTTCAGCCAAAGGGGCAATCAGCCTCTCCAACCATCAGAAGGGGCCACAGCTGAAAGCCACACAGACCTGTGGCTCACAAGCAAGCATCCCAGAAACTTTGACACAGCAATCGTTGATTATTACCCACCCACAAGTCAGCATCCTAAGTGGCAGCTGCCTCTCCGGCCAGCCCATCCTCTTTGGGCAACTTGGCCAAGTTTAGTTTCTGCAGCTAGCTTGCAGCAAATGCTTTCAGATGGAACAGACACAGATTCACAAATTTCCAGTGACACCTATCTATCACCAGGAAAAAATGGCTTCCTCCAATCCCAGAGTGTCCTGCAATATCATTCAACTACGGACTCAACCTCTGTATCAACTGGAGCCTTTTCCAGGACCCCCTCCAAAGTGCTGCGAACTTCTCGGCGCCCCAAGAAATGGACAGGTGCAGCCACTAATGCAGGTAGTTTATTTCCTGGTACCCAGAAAACAGGTATGACTGCTTTTTCGACCAAAGCATCTTCAAGCTCAACACAGATGGCCAGCTTTGCTTTGAAGTAGCCTGCCTCCCCTCGTTCAGTAGTAAGGTACAGCTGCAGACAGGCATGCCGCTGATCCTCCCTGCCTACCTGAATTTTTTGAAAGTATTCAGAATTTATGTCCTTGCTATCAACAACCATGGCTTTGCTGTAAGTGGCATTCTCATTATGGCTGGTTGAGTTAATAAACCTAAGGTTGTTTCCCCTGAGTTCTCCCCACTGCAAGCCTGGAGTGTAGAGACTTCTTCCACTAGCAAGCTCATAAGTGACATTCCTTCATAAATCAGGACAGTGATGTGTGCATCCCAGACCGATGACAAACTTCTCTTTTTCTCTCTTTGCAGTGGAAAGCTCAGTGTCACCCAAGGGAGAACTGACAGCAACAGCTGCAGCTGCCGCCACCACCACATTGTTTCTGAGGAAGTCAACCCCGGCAGCGTTGTCCGCAGCCCTCACTGCTAAGGGCGCCGGCAGCGGCAGCAGTTTATCCAAGAGCAGTCTGACCACGGCTCTAGCTAAAAATGTCACCAACAAGGCAGCATCAAGCCCAAAGGTGACAGCTGGGACAGTCCACACTGCCTTCCCATTTACACCAACCTATATGCTTGCCCGGACGGCCCACAGCATGAGCACACATACAGCCACACAAGGGACCATGGGCTCTGCGTCAGGCCTGTTGTCCACAACTCATTTCCCCAAGAAACCACAAGCCATGCACACTGGCCTCCCCAATTCCACCAGGCCAGACACACCCAGAGCCTCCACAACCCGCCCACTGACAATCACAGCAGCACTGACATCCATTACAGCCTCAGTAAAGGCCACGAGACTGCCATCTTTGCAGACAGGAAACACAGATGCTGCTTTCCCGGCTGTGTCTACCGCAGTGGTCACAACTGGCAGGATAGCATCCAACTTGGACTGTCAGATGTCCCACAGGCTCCTAGTGAAGACAGGTGAGAGGCCACTGTCTTATTGGTCTGAGGGCAGTGGGGTGATCTTGACCTCAGCGATTGGCTAGAATGAATTCTCTTATATCAGTGCTTGTCAATCAGGAGTGCTCTCACCCTCCCTCTCTGAGGGGACATTTGGCCACATCTGGGGACACTTTGGTTGCTACACATTGGGAAGGGTACCTGTAGGCACCTGGGATTATGTTTAACATTTCACAATGCTCTGTCTGTACAATAAAGACTAACTGTAACTGGAGACAACACTCAGTTGGTACAGTGCTTCGCGTGAGGACCTGACCTCCTAGAACCCATATTTCAAGAAAGCTGAGTGTGGTAGCTTATAACCCCAGAGCTCTGGAAAAGCAGAAACAGACAGATCCCTGGAACTCACTCACCAGTCAGTCTAGCCTACTCAATGAACTGCAGCAAGAGACCGGTCTCAAAAAACAAGGTGGGTAGTAACTGAGGAGTAACCTGTGGTTGTCTTCTGGCCTCCACATACAAGGACACACATAGACACACACCTGAACGTATGCGTGTGTGCGCACACACGCACAAACACACACACACACACAGATGGATGTGGGGAGAAGGAGAGAGATTAATCAGTATTATGAAGGTTAAGAAACCTCGACTCTCATCAAGTGTCAGAAAGCAGAAACATTAGATGGCACGGATTCTAGTCCTAGGATTGCTTCTGACATCAGAAGCGCCCAGTGAAACCATACTTACTCTAGATCAGGGAATTCCTGAACACAGCACGTTTTGTCTGTGAAGTATTCCAGTGATGCCTCATATGAAGAGACAATGTGATTCATTTAACACAAAAATCGTGGGACTCATCGCACCATTTAGAAAAGTTTTCCTAATCAGCAGATACCAACTGGACATTTGAACCACACAGTGGGGGAGTAGGGTTTCTTTTCATGTCAGTAGGGTTGATCTCTTCTCTGCCCCACTCCCTGATTGCAGAAAGCGAGTCTAGAATGCTTAGAGTGTTTTGCATAGTGCAGTAGTGCTCTCTATAAAAAGCATTAGACAAATTATTTGAAAGAGCATGCCAGTGTTGAATGCTCATTCCCGCCTTCCTCCTCAGCCCACAAAGAATGAAAGGAAATGATATCTTATTCTAAAATGGGAAATTGTGAAATTAGGCACAGCAGAAAATACAGTATCTCTTTCAGTTTCTCTATTATGCCATCTGGGTTTTAACCCCCTCCCCTCTCCAGATCCATGCCTTCTCCCAGCTCCCCCCTCCATGCAGAAGCACCCTCTTGGCTTCTGTCTTCACTCCTTTCCACTAGCTATGGCTGAGCAGTGTATGCTGTTCTCACTCCTGAATATCCCTTCTCTCCATCCCGCCTTCCCCCTCCCTCCTGCCTGCAGCCCTATCCACGTTTCTCTCTCTCTCCTCAGCCCTCTGTCTTCTCCAATCTATTATCAGTGTGTAGTCAAAGGAATCTTCTATAACTCATTACTTCATTTTAAACCCCTATTTCCTCTCTCCCTTAGAACCAAGCTAAACAAACATGTGCGCTGGCAGGATTCACCTTCCTCTCCCCCCCCCCATGCCTTTTCCCTTGGTGGCCCTGGCTCTGGGAGTCCCTTCCTCTTGCCAGGTGACCACCGTTACCCTTCAGTACTCATCAGAAGCATCAATTCCTAAGGAAACTTCCTCTGATCCCAGCCTCCTTCAGAAGCCTTGGCAGAACTCTGACTTCCTTCTAATGGTGACAGTTAAAGTCAGTCACAGATGCCATCTGCATCCCCGTCTGTGAGGTGGACCTGTCCCTTCTGGATTCAGGGTTGATTAGAGCTGTAGAACCCAGCTCAGGGCCAGTCTCTAAGTATGTCAGTGGGTGCTATTACAGAAATGTGGTTTTGTGTTGACGCACTGGGGGCCAGGCATACAGAGGCTGGTCCTCACTGTCAGAGGCAGTGAGAGTTGGGAATGTGGTGCCATCAGCACACCAGCTCTTTGGCATTAAGACCCCATAAATGGCTTGGGCCTTCATCAGACCAACAGTCACCCCCCAGCCTGTCTCTGATTGGTGGGCCTTTGCTTATCAGTTGTGCTCTGGATTTGATGGACATAGAGGCTGGGAAGGGGGTGCTTGTTCATTAGGAGGCTCGTTCTTGACTCTTGATTACTGTGCTTCTGTCTCACCCCATAGTTCTCTTCCTAACCCAGAGGAGAGTACAGAGCAGCGAGTCCTTGAAGCTTGGTGTAACCAAAGGGCTCACACAGGCATTGCGGAAGGCCTTCCGCCAGAATGATGTCTCCGCTCACGTAAGCACCTAACTTTCTAAGCTGGCCAATTCAACCCATGCCCCTCTTGGGTCCAGAGTAGGAGAAGATGTTTTCCTCCTTCCTAGGTGCCACACCCAACTTGCTAGAAGTAGAAGTTTTTGACATTTTGGCAGATAACTAACATCTTGCAGCTGGAGAAAAGGGTCATTTCAAGAGGAAAACTTGAAACTAATTACCTTGTATTACTTTTGTATTCTTAAAAATTGTCTCATCACTGGAGGAGTATTTGGTATCCTCTAGAAGCCGTCCATTGTTGTTTTGTCTTTTTTTTTATCTTCTGGGCAATTATAAATAGTGGTTTATTTCTGGACATTTAACAGGTATAATAAAGTCAGGTAGATATTACATATTTATACTCCCAGAACATGAGAGGCTGACACAGGAGGATTTGCCCAAGTTTGAGGCTACCCTCGGCTACAGATTAAGACTGTCTCAAAAACCCAAACTGAAACCAGAACTACTACTAACAACAGCAAAAGTCCAAATTACTCAGATCTGTAAGAGGAGTTCCACTCTGTTGGGTGTGCCAGCAGCAGACAGGGAAGTAAACATTTTTCCTTCCAAACACTTTGATGCCAAGTACTGCTTAATAACTGCTGGGCTGGTTTCAATGGCACAGCCAAGCTGCAGAGGCATTGTTTTACAGTCTTTTGGGTTGATCCCAAGTGTTAGAGCAGTAAATGCAACTGGCAGTCAGTGGACTCCCTTTTGTACCACTTAAACATATCATTCTGGCTTCCTCTTTTGATGGCCTGAGTAACAGCTGCATCCAGCCTAGTGGTCCCTCCCCACCCATCATACAGAGGACCAGGGATGAGCTTTTGGCACATCCTCCATTGGTCATTGTCAAGCTCTCTTTTACAATTCTTAAAAAAGAAATCGGGAGGAAGAAAGGAGAGAAGGGGAAAAGCGCTCCCTGCACTGGAAACCTTCCCATTTTTAAGCCAAAAGTTGCCCATGCAACTTCTCTCCTTCATCTGCCTGGTGTGGTTTCACTGAACTGCAGTCATTTTCCAATGACCTCTCTAGCTTTCGCTTTTTCTGCACATCAGTGCAGACCACTGCAACAGATACTATGCTTTCAAAATAATTGGTGCACTTTGTAAACTTAACACGTTTCTTTTGAAATTTTTGAATTAGCACAATGAATGTAAATCAGGATCATTTTCCATGAATAAAAGGTAGTGGCAAAAATGAGAATAGTGGGCATAAATAACCCATTAAGTTTCAGTTATGTTGCCTGCACAAGGCTGCGGGGCAGAGCCTGGTATCCCTTTGCTCAGTTATTGGTTCATTTGATTGATTGTTTTTAAAGACATGCAGGGGTTATAAGTGTATGAAAAACACATAGCCCCTGAACCAAGGCTTGCTCTTTGAAATTATTGGAAGGGCTGGAAAGTCCACAGCTTGCTCACTGGGTGAGTTGTTCTTTGGGGCTATGTTCATGAGCCATCTTGAAGCTCCTTGCTTAGTCATTTTTATAAAGAACCAGTTGAGAACACACTTTGGAAGGACCAAATTGCATCTATCATGCTGTAAAAGTCAGTTTTCTTGAGGTTTTTATGGAAAATGTATGTGGCCTGGGGCCTTGTGCTAATGGATTGCCCCTGGCCTATTTCCCCAGCCATATGGGACACTAATGCAGATGCAGGAATGGGGAAGGTATGCGGAGGTTAAAATAGCCTGATACAGACGCCCGGTATTACAGCGTGCAGTTCATGGGAGATGGGTGGTGGTGCTGGTTGTATCCATTATCTGTGAATTAGAAGTATCAGTGAGCAGTACACATAAGGCATGGTAGATTGTATGTGATCTGAGTTTTACCACAATGAAAACAAGAAAGGAGGCTGAGCATCTGATCAGAAGTAGAGATTTTGTCTACCATGCACACAGTCCTAGGATCCATCTCCAGCAAGACACACACACACACACACACACACACACACACGCTACAAACACCCCCACACAAACATATACACATGTATGCACATGTAGACAAACACACACATATGTACAGACACAAACATACACACACTCAGACATATAGAGAAGTAAAGAGATTATGCAGCATATCTACCCTGTATACACATATGTATATGAATATGTATATATGTCTTTACATGTATATACATATATATATACACTTATACACAAAAATATGTATTCCTAAGTAAAAATGATTGAAAGGAGACACACCTAACAGGTAGTAGTAGTAATACCTGAGGCAATTATAATTTTTCTCTTAATTTTCCAAAACTCCAATTTTATGATAAACATCACATTTAACATATAAAAAACAAATACCAACATTTAAAACTATAAACATACATTAACAAAGCAAAATGTAGTAAGGATAAGTTCTTGTTGTTTTTTGTTTTTCAAGGCAGGGTTTCTCTGTATTGTTTTGGAGCCTGCCCTGGAACTGAACTCTCTTGGTAGACCAGGCTGGTCTCAAACTCACAGAGTTCTGCCTGCCTCTGCCTCCCTAGTAAGGATAAATTCTAAAGCCTTAAAATCTTCCCCTAGGACAGAGAGGACTCAGGCTATCAGCTTAAGACTCACTTGGGAGAGAAGGCCTCTGACTCATCCCTACCTTGTCCTTGAATCTGTGTCTAGGCCAAGGAAGGTGCCAAGGCTGAAGGCCCCTTCTCTGCTTTAAAGCAGAAAATTCCACTTTAGATACCTGGTCACCCATCCCCAGAAGGTGCCCTACTTCATTCATCATCTCTGCCTTTTGCCTCCCAAGAATGGTGAGATGTAACTTTTCTTCTAAGCAGAATTCTGCTCCTTAGACATCTTTCCGGCCTGCTGTTCCCTCTCTGACTTCCTGGTAATATAATTAGTTGTTCATTGGATCATACTCAAAATACTTAAGAAATCCAAAAACAGGTTCAGTTTTATCTCTCGTAGGTTTGGTGTGGGTTTTATTTTGTTGTATTGGGATACTTTGGAAATCACAGGTGCACTTTGCAGGGTTGTTGGGATATTTGTACAGTGAGAGCATCCTCGTCTTAGAGCTGTGGCTCTAAGAACACAAAGGGGAACTTAAAGTTCTGTGGAAATAAACAGCGCATTCTGGGGGTCCATTCGTTTTGTAGGTGGACATCCTGGAATATTCTCATAACGTCACAGTCGGCTATTATGCTACCAAAGGGAGGCTGGTGTATTTGCCTGCTGTGGTGATGGACGTGCTGGATGTGTATGGAGTCAGCAACTTCACTGCCGACCTGAAGCAACACACTCCCACCTTACAGTCTGTGGCGGTGCTCGCCTCCCCGTGGAAGCCCCAGCCTGCAGGTGCCTTCCAGCTGAAGACAGGCAAGTCACCCGAAGGAAAAGGTCCCATTGGTCCAGGGCTAGACAAGCCCCACTGTTGGTAGATGCTTGTCAGCTCCCGTAGTCCTTATATCTTCAAACTTCCCTACTCATCAGATGGTCAAGTCTTCCGCTAAACGTCTCTAATTCTGACTTCCTTAGATATGTTACACTGTAAAGGCTTTTCTTCCCAACCCATATGCGTAGTGCATTGCAGCACAGAATACCGTGTTTTTCCCTTCTTATTAGTGGCTACTACTATGAGTTGAGCACCCATAAAACCTATCGTCTGGAACTAATAGGTTCTGGCTGTTATTGAAGTAGTCTCCCAGCAAATACTTTGACAGCTTTCTTTCAATTTCCCTTGTGATTTCTGATTTGCAAAGTTTGTGAACCACAAGAGTGGAGGTACCATTGCAGTAGGAACCATCAGCTCAGTGTGGAGGACAATTGATCATCCCCATCCATAGAAATAGAGGGCACTGGTTGTCACCTTTGAGCAGATGTCTGCAGTCTCATGGGATAAAGTCATGACGTCCTTTGTGTTGGAGAGAACCTTGGATTCAATCATGCTTTTAATTATTCTCTGCTATAACTCATCTTAAGATCCACTTTCAAAACTATAATTAAAGCTTGTCTGATCTTACTGTTTGTTTGCCTAATTTCTGTAACCTAAAAATCATGCTGTTTTGTATCATAGCTATTAAATCTGAGGAACTAAGACAGAGGTTGGTGAGTGGTGACTTGTGGCTCTTCTTCTAGTGTTGCAGTTTGTAAGCCAGTCAGACAACATTCAGTCCTGCAAGTTTGCCCAGACAATGGAGCAGAGGCTGCAGAAGGCATTCCAGGATGCAGAGAGGAAGGTCCTTAACAGCAGGAGCAACCTGACGCTTCAGGTAGGGAGGAGGGACTTCAGGCTGCATAGTAGACAGACAGCCATAATGCTTATTTGGTTCTACCATTTAAAAGCTGTCATATGCAAATAAAAGTTTGTACTTTTGGCGGGTGATATGGACAGCCATGGCATTGGTGAGTCTGGCTGTGGCAGGTAGGATTCCATGTCACTCTGAACCTACCACAATCCAGGGATTAATACTTTGTTATTGTATGTAATGCTTCCTCCAGCCTTCCTTTCCCTCCCTCCCTCCCTCCCTCCCTCCTTCCCTCCCTCTCTCCTCTCTCCCTTCCTTCCTTCTTTTTTTCCTTCCTCCTTCCCTCCCTCCCTGTCTCTCTTTCTCTCTTTCTTTTTTGCCTTCCTTCCTTTCTTTAAAGATTTACTTATTATTATATATACAGTGTTCTGCCTCCATGTATGCCTACACACCAGAAGGGGGCACTAGATCTCATTACAGATGGTTGTGAGCCACCATGTAGTTGCTGGGACTTGAACTCAGGACCTCTGGAAGAACAGTCAGTGCTCTTAACCTCTGAGCCAGCTCTCCAGCCTTCCTCTAGCCTTTTAATGAATTTATCATTAAAGAATTAAACCTAAATATACTTTATAAGGTATATCAACTTTTCTCATATAAAATGAATGAATTTAACTTTTTACATTATTTGTGTGTGTGCATGTGTGTGTTTGTAGGGTACATGCTACAGAGCAAATATGGAGTTTAAAGGACAACTTATGAGAATGTGTTCTTTCTTTCCAACATGTGGGTCTCAGGGATCGAACACAAATTACCATGCTTAGTGGCAGGCACCTTTATCTCCTGAGCCATCTTGGGGCCAGTGAATTGATTTTTAAATCACTAACTCTGTTGTGATTTTCTGTGATTAAAATTGTTGTGTGATTTGCATTGGGCTATTTCTAAGTTTCAACACAAATGATCATCACATGCAAACGAAAAAACCCACAGACACACACCTACATCTTTTACAGTGCATGCTTAGTATTTTACAAATATTATTTTACAAATATTTTTCTGTGTAATGATCAAGATATCCTCTGAGATATCATCTCTATTTAGCTCAAGTGAGAACTGAGAGGATTATGAAGCTCCCAGAAGGTCACATGATTGGGAAAGAATGGAGTAAAGATGTGAGTCCAAACTCTGTCTTCTTATCCACCAAGCTGCACCAGCATTGATACAGTGCAGAAAGGGTGTCCCTGAACCCTTGGCAAGTGCATCTTTCCCAGGGAAATCCACTTCCTGATCTCCATGTATTTGACTTCCTGGCTAACAGTGTGAACATCACTTTTTCAGACCCATTTGTGTGTGTGTGTGTGTGTGTGTGTGTGTGTGTGTGTGTGTGTGTGTAGTTATACAGATAACATCTCAATAGGGATAGATGCTTAATGATATTCATCTAGCAACCAAAGTCTAATTAATGCCTCTGTTCTGTGTCTCTTTTGACTACTGAACTAAATAAAGCCTTTGCAGTGAGACTAGGGGCTTTCAAAATTGACAGTTGAGCATAGGCAAGTTACCAGCAAAGCCAATATGATGTAAAAAGCACTCGATCTAATTTGAAGGAGCAGCTTTCCTTTTGTAGACTCGGGCAAAGTGAATCAGGGAGGATCTCATTACAACTCAGCTCTTAGTACTTTAAGATCTAGCATGTGTACAGATTTAAGATTTATGTAAGCAGTAGCTCCAGTGGGAAATCCTTTTCTTCAGGATTGTCTTCGTGGTCTTAACAGGTGTGTGAACCTAAAGAGGTTCTTGGAAGCAGAATAAGCAGTAAGAGGTTTATTGAGTGCCTGTTGTTTGTTAGATGCTTTGAGATCAGACACCCAGATAAATAGTTGCCCTTGGTCTTCAGCCTGTCTCTGTTGTGAACTGGTTATGGTGTCATCAGATGAAACATAAGCAACAAAGCTTCCTTGGAAAAGACTACAGCAGGTGACTTGGCCCTTGTATCTAACTAGATTTGAGATGCTCTTTGACATGTTGGAAGCCTTTGACACTAATTGAATGAATCATTTTATTAATCCCATTTCACATTTGGCCTTGGCCAATATGAAGCATCAGAATCAGGTTTATCTTGGTCCTCTATCATCCTGGGATTATAATAATATGAACTTCCAAATTGATGTTTTTTGTAACACTTTTCCATTCTATTCTGTTAAATATAATTTTGTATGGTACGTGAATCCTTTGTGGAACTAAAAAAAAGATTTAAATATCAAAGTTATTGAAAAAGTGACTTTAAAAAAAGCACATAGCATTAGGAGCTAGGTTGCAGTTGACTCAATGAGGGTTATAACAGAATCCAAGCTATGAGACATAAGCAGAAAGAGGCAAGATGGGCTCATTCCACTGAGACATTCACGGCTTATTGCCTGGAGGCATAGCTGGATCCAGGAGCATTAACATTTTCTTCAGGAGATTCTCTGCTCATCTCCTGCTTACTTTCCTCCAGACCCTGGGACCAACTCTCATCCGTCCCACTGTGACCATGGAGATGAAAAATCCTGATCAACATGGTCTGACACATATGTCTACCCCTGGAACATGGGAAGTGGCAGCTGTACCTAAAGCACATGAACAAAGTGGAGAAGGGAGGTGGCTTTCCAGGGACCAAGGTGCTGCTGTCATAGAAGGAGAAAGATGCTGGGAACAAAGTGGCCTGTGGTCTAATGAGTTAATGAACCAGGATGAGTGAGTAAGAAGAGATGAGGTTAGAGGCTTCATAAAGGGTCGTGAGTGGGTTCATCAAAGAAGATACAAAGGCATAGAAATGGAACTTGGGAGACCTTAAGCCATAAATATCCCAATATTCACCATCTGGAATTGTAGATTGAATGTGATCTCTACAAAAATCCCATTCTGAGAAATAGACAGGAGGATTGCTATAGATGCAAGGGCAGTCAGCTAGCTTGCATAGCAAGTTCAAGATCAGTCAGGGATACATAGTTCTGTCTCAAAAACAGTGGGGGATAGGGAAATGGGATGGAGCAGGGATTAGAGTGATGACTCAGCAGCTGAGAATATTTGGTGCTCTTGCAGAAGAACTGAGTTCAGTTCCTAGTACCCACATCAGGAAGCTCACAGCCACCTGTAACTCCAGTTCCAGGGGGTCTAATAATATACTCTTCTGGCCTTCATGGGCACCTACACAGACACACATACACACAGACACACACACACACACACACACACACACACACACACTAATCCCAGTGGTGTTTTTAAAACCAGAAATAGAGAAATCTATCCTGAAATTCAAGTAGAGTCTCAAAATACCTTGAAGAACAAAAACAATCTTGACAAAGGACAAATTGTATAAGTTTCACACTTTCTTGTTTCAAAAATTAATTTTGAAAAACCTATGATAACCAAAACAGTATGGTCTCAACTTTATGACACAGAGATCATTTAATGGTCTGGATAGAGAGTCCAGAAACAAATCCACTACTTTTTTAATCAAGGTTGGTCTTTGAGGAAAGGGTAATCTTTTTAATAATGGATACTCACATTGCAAAAGAAGGAAGCTGGAGCCATACCTAACATTATCAACCAAAATCTCTCAAAGTACACCAAAGACCTACATGTAAGAACTAAAGCTAATGGGCTCAGGGCATAGAGGAAAGATTTCATGGATACTGTTGGAAAACTGCAGAGCCAAGAGAGACAAACCAAGTGGACATCCTTGAAAATAAGAACTTTGCCCACCAAAGACACTAATAACAGAGTGAAAGATAACCCACAGAATTGTGAATCAACTATCTGATTAATATCCAGAACCTAAAGAAATAAAGAATTCCTGCTATGCATAAATTAAAACAATTAATGGTAAAAAAGGGGGGCTGGGATGCATGTTGTTGTATTTGTCTAGCATGCATTATGCCCTGGGTTTGAACTATGTCACCACAAGGAGAGAGGCAGAGACAGAGACAGATAACAGGGTTGGCGTGGGAAGGCTTTGACATAATAAATAATCATGAGATACCTTTTCACATCTATTAGGATGATCATTCTCAAAACCCTAGAAAATAGTAAGTGTTGGTGAGGATATGGAGACGTTAGGGTCCTTGAATACTTCTAGAGGGATGTGCAATGGACAGCCACTGTGGAAATCAGTACTATGGCCCCTCAAGAACCTAAACATGCACTCAATATGATCCAGTAACTCCATGTCTATCTATATAGCCAAAACAATTAAAAAGGAGAACTAGAAAGTAAAATAGGTGTTTGTACAGTGTTCACAATGGCAAAAAGGTAAAAGTGAGCCAAGTGTCTATCAAATGCTAACATGAAGAACAATGTAGTCTATACTTACTGGAGTGTTACTAAACCAGAAGGCCACTCTTGTGCTAAGTAAACCAGTCTCAGAAGGAAAACTACAGCATGATTTCTCTACTACCAGGTACCTGGAGTTGTGGAATCATCAGTAATCTTACTTTAAGAACAACCTTGGAATAAGAAGATGGAGGAACTAGGAGTTTTTTAATGGGCATAGAGCTACAGTTGGGGGCAGTGAGGAAGTTCTGTGATATTTGGCAAAAAAAATGAAAAGCTACTTAATGTTGCTGAACTATGTGCTTAAAGATGATTAAAAGATTAAATTTTGTGATTTATATATTTTATCACAACAAAAGGTATAACTTATCTGGTTGAATATAGAATCTATGTGTGTATGTGCATACATAATTTTATAAATGTGCACATACATACACACATATATATGTATGTACATATTTCTATATTACTAGCTTTATGGGCCTCTTAGGAGTCCAGGGAGATTTAGTGCTATTTATTGAAAGATGACAAATATTCAGTAAATATTCACAATAGAGATAAAAATAAAATAGTTATATTATTAAGACTTATTTTTATTATTTATTTTTGTGCTGTGGTGTGTGTGTGTGTGTGGTGTGTGTGTGTGTGTATGTGCATACTTGTATGTGTGGGTGCCCTAAGAGGCCAGAAGAGAGCACTGGATTCCCTGGAGTTGGAGTTGCAGGTGGTTGTGAGACACCTGATCTTGGGCTTGAGCATGAACCTCAGATCCTGTGCAAGAGACCCAGGTGCTTTTAGCTCTTAGCCACAGAGCCGTATTTCCAGTTCCCAGGGAACTCTTTTGAATCATTAGACGTGCCTTTTTCTGCACACGTGGGACAGAGGTCTGAATACTTTCTGGGAAGAAAACAAGAGCTGAGCAGAAATGTTGGCTGGGTTATCCTTAATCAAGGGATCGTGGCTCTTGGTTGGAGAACTGAGAGACAGCTGTCACGTGTCAGCAAAGTGGAGAAGCTGTTCTGAGCAGCTTTCTTCAGGGTCAGGACCAGGAGCAAGGCTGCACAGATGATGTCTGAGCCAAATGGGCCCCACAAGCCAGGCGGCAGCTAGCCCCCAGGCGGGTAAGACAGTCCTCAAAAAGAGCTTGAGAGTTCTGTGAAGAGACCTCAGCTCAATGTGTGGGCAGTGACAGCCCTGTATCCAGGCTATGCCTGGGCTCTGATGCCCACAGGGAGGGTGACCGCACCAGTGCCCTACCCTCCCTTCCTTTCTCCTGTGCCCACTCAGCCCCCTTTAGCTAACACCAGTGGGCAGAGAAACCATTGTGTGGTCCTTGAGGGCAGCCTGCAAGATGCCCTTTGACGTGCAGGGCAGTGGCAAGGAGATCCGGAGAGAAAGGGTAGACACACCACATCAGCCAGCAAAGGCATCTCGCCAGCGATGTTTCTCCTGCTCATGTTTTTCAAATGTTTGAGATATTTTTATCCGTACATTGACCCAGAAAATCTCATTTTTCCCCAGCAACTAAAAATGAAATAATACTGAGCACGAGAAGAAACATGTGTTACCTTAGAGAACTTTTTTCTCATAATCCATACCAAATTAATGGTTCACAAAAGGAAGTAATTGTCCCATGAAGGGCCCATTTTGTATTTCTGAATCCCTGTTATGCTTGTATTCAGTCACCTGCTCATAACATCTGGTGCACATTCCTCTCAACCCGAAAGTTCCCTGAACAGCTGAAGACGGGCTGTGCTTTGTATTTCCAGAATTGCAAAGGCCACTTGAGTCAGTTTAGCCCTTAGAAAAGGCACACGATTGGTTAAGAGCCAGAAATCAAGACTGCTTGGGTTCAAATCCTGACTCTGTCACAAAGAGCTGTATGACCTTGGACAAATCCCTGTCACTCTAGGCCATGGTTTCCTCATTTGTGAAAGGCAGTCATAAATAGACTTCCAGGGTTAGATCAAGATGGAATATGATGTACCCATAGCCCAGTGCCTGGTGTGCTCCTGCAGTCTGTAAACAATGACTTGCTGTTTGTTTTTTTTCCTCCTTGCTGTCTCCCACTGCCCTTCCACTGCAACCCTTAACTTGTGTTGAAAGGTCCCTTCCTCGGCCTCCCCGACACAGACCCTCACCTTATTAGACATGTCTCCTTCCCCTTTGTTCCTGTGTCATTTAGATTGTGAGCACGTCCAATGCCTCCCAGGCCGTCACATTGGTGTATGCTGTGGGCAATCAGAGCTCGTTCCTCAACGGTACTGTGGCCAGCAGCCTCCTTAGCCAGCTCTCGGCAGAGCTGGTGGGATTCTACCTCACTTACCCTCCACTCACCATCGCTGAACGTGAGTACGTGCGCCTCAGCCTCATGGAGAAGGGCCCTGTGCTTTCCCCTGGGGATCTTTCTCCATACCATAGAAGAACCTCTGCTTTGCTAAGCTACACATTGTGCGTGTTATTTTGAGCAACTGAAAACAATTCAACACATGGGGGTTAGACTGTCAAGGAGTTCATTGCACACTGCTTGATGCTTACATTAAGCCTATGAAGAGGATGCAGAGCTAAAAGAAAAAAATTGAAGCCCCCCCACCAAATTTTCATAGGATATCCACTCCCCCACAGCTAATGGGGCTGCAGGGGGTCCCGTACTCTGAGCACTGCCTCCCGGGGCTCCACGTTGCCATGATCTTCTCTTCCCTCCACAAATCTTCCTAGACCTTCAGGTCCAGCTGGTGACAGACAGCATAATGCAAACTTGGTGATCTGTGTCGTGACTTCACTTGAAGTCCCCATAGTCTGAGGCCTTGGCTCTCTGCAATGCTTGTTACATAATCCTCATTACTATGCAGTCAACTGGACTTTGAAGACTGAGCAGCCCATAATTGCCGCTAGACATTTGCTGCGTAGCTAAAGGAAGTGATGGTCTGTACCCTAAATTTAATTATTATATTTCACAAGGTCAATGGCAAAGAATTCCTTTTAAAATATACCCGTTAGCAAAAGTGTTTTGCAATTTCTTTGTGTAGTTGTTTTGATACTATAAATGAATGAGATCACACACTTGAGTCACAAGTGCAAGCATACACACATGTGTGTACATGAGTGTAAAAGGTGTACTTGTCACTTAGAAACCATTGAGAAGTTTTTTTAATGTAAAGCTCTTATAAACTTTCAGGCAGTAAGAATGACTCTGAACTTCATAAAAAGATTATGTCGTGAAAGATGGTGGCAGGATGTCACAGGTGGTTGGTGCAGGAGTTACTTTCTTTAACCAGCTTGGTTTTCTGATAATAATCACAGTTAAGTTGAACTGAGCAGAAAGGAATTGGGAAATGGCTCAGTTGGGAAAGTACTTGATGTGCAAGCCTGAAAAATATGAGTGCGATCTCAGTACCCACATTAAAAAGCATTCTGGTGAGGTGCTCGCAGCTGTAATACTAGTGCTGGGAGGTTGGCCCAGGAGTAGCCCTGGAAGCTCACTGGATAGCCAGGCCAGTCAATCATCAAGCTTAAGGTTCAGTGAGAGATCTTGTCTCAGGAAATCAGGGGAGAAGCAATTTAGAAAGGCACTTGCCATCATCTTCTGGCTTAAACATAGATATGTACACTTATACACACATGTACACGCACACACACACAAACACACACAGACACAGACACTTGAAGGATGTATTGGGCGCTGACTATATCTCAGACACTATACTGAGTCCTTTAGGTGTGTGAATTCTCATAGTCACCATTCTGGTAAAGTAAGATGGTAACTCTTTCTCCCAGCACTGGGGTACCACATGTAAGCCCTTAGTGCTAGAGAGATCCCTTTAAGAGATAACCGTTCCTTAGACCTCTGTGGTGCTAAATAATCTGTACAGGGGAAGCCCCAGCTAAGACAGGCTGCAACTGTGGGTATTGATAGTGATGTTGTTCCGTTTAAGAAGGCGTGGAGGGAAAACTTCAAAGAGAGACACTCCTGAATCAAAGAGAGGAAATCCTGAATCTGAGCCCCTTGTAGAAACTGTCCCTTTACTGAGTGACCTTTCTATCCAATGAAATAGTTTGACCCGTGTGCAATGATTTCCCAGAAATGGCAGTGTGGGACCTAGCTGCTTGCCAGCTTGTCATTTCTGTGTTTCCTTTGTTAATGTTTACTCATAAAACCTATCAAAGGAATTTGATATGTTTTTTTATTTGTTTTAGCACTGGAATATCCCAACCTTGATATATCAGAAACAACCAGAGACTACTGGGTCATCACAGGTAACATCTTATTTCTGTATGCCCCCCTTCACACCATCAGGTTCGTTTGTCTAAAATGGTGCCATTTGGTGACGGGATGGACACATTTGGTCCTGCCTTATACATCAAGGAGTTCCTTCTATGGGGCTGGAAGAGATTTGGGAAGCTAAGAGAAGAACACCCTGAGGATGATTACTGATAAATAATTCGAAACTGTTACCTCAATGGTCCCACCCTCAATCTGTCTCCCAGCATCACCAGTGGTGATGTCTGGGCATGTCATCTGTGTGAGCAGCTTGCAGAAAGCTTTCTTGTCAGACTGTCTTTGGACCACCAGCCCCCAAATAATGAAGAGGAGACTTTTTATTAATTATGAAAGCTTGGCCTTAGCTTAGGCTTTTTCCCAAATAGCTCTTATAACTTAATTAACCCATATTTTTCAATCTGTGTTCTGCCATGTGGCTCAGTTACCTCTCCTTCGTACAGCTCATCCGACTTGCTCAGGTGCCTAGATTCCTCCCAGTTTCCTCTGTCTCTGCCCAAAAGTCCCTCCTGTACCTCCTGTCTAGGTACTGGCCGTTCAACTTCTTATTACACCAATCACAGCAATACATCTTCACACAGTGTGCAAATACCCCACAGCCTTGCCTGTCTGGGGACCATCTGTGTGGGTGGCTGTCTGAACAGACTGTAGGCCTTCACTGCTCTGCAAACCCAAATCAAAGCCAGAGGAGGGCCATGTATGTGCTGCTCCTTCTCGGGGCACACGACTCACCCCACACCAACCCTGGTGTGCTCTCCAGATGAGGTCGAGTGGGAGTCGAAGAGCGAGCGTGTTCTGGTGGCATTTTCTCTTTTCCCTTGACATTTCACAGTTGAACATTATGAGACAGCAAAGGCATTCTGTTTGTGTTTTCAAAAGCCTCCCAGTGGCTCTAAAATGAGAGAATCAACATTATTGAGGCAATGGGAGGGGACAGCTGTACGTAGGAGGAAAAGTGGCCAGCCCAGCCTTCAGAGGGTAGACAACTGAAAGTTGTGTTCTCCGTGTTCTGTGAGCCTGAGACCAAAGCACCGATAGGTTTGCATCTTTGTGTCTTCCTCCCACCCCGTTGGCTTGAAGGTGGTCACCTTCCCCATCTGTCTCCACTGGTTCTTCCCTCTGAGCTTGTCTGTCCTGATTTCTTCCTCTTACAAGGACGTCAGGCACATTGGATTATGGCCCATGCTCTTGACCTAGTTTTAATTTCATGACCCCTACAAAGACCCTCTTTTCAAATACTGTCACTCTCTGATATACTGGGGGCTAGGACTTGCACATGTGAATTTGGGGAACATAGTTCAGCCGGTCAATGAGGAGGTAGGACGATCCTTCAAGACCTGGGAATGTGTATGGGGAGGAGCTGCCCTGAGCTCCCTTCCCTCATCCATCCTTCCCTCACTGCTGTCTCAAGCAAGTGGCAAGGGGGTGGCTGCCTAAAATTCCATCCAAGGAGTTCCCACCCTGCAGCATGCCTGCCTGCACTCACTCTCTTCTAGCAGACAAGATCACCCACGTGCCCCACTGCAGAGTCTTTGGTACGCAGAGGTCATTTTAACTGCTAAGAAGGCAAAGCAAAGAAGCATATTTTTAACAGATTAGAAACTACTCTACCAGGACGCAAACCCTAGAGAGGCCGTGCTAGCGCAGCAACACAACCCAGCCACACATCAATGAGCCAGCAGGTTATATAACGGTACAAAACTGCATGTCTTCCTCAACAACAGCGCCTTTTCCTTCACAGATATTCCCCCTTCTCTGAACTTTAAAGTTTACATCCAGTGATCATAATCCATTCTTAAACATAGGCTGCCCTTGGCAGCTACCGGTGAGGTCCCCTCCCCATCTTCCCATGCCTTGCTGTGCCTTCGTTTACGGAAAGCCATGCACACAGTCTTGTTTCTGAGCTCACCTGGGACTTAACCCTTCATACGCACTTATGTGATGTCTTTCCTCATTGCTGTTGCTGGCATTGCAGTTAGTGATCTGCTAACATCCCTCTGCTGATGGCATCAATCAGTTAGTACTTGTGTGAAATGAACCATGTTTTGGCATGAGCCACTTACCTTCCATGCACACTATGACTCACTTTACAAACTTCTGGGAAGCCTCTGCCAAATTGCCCTATCGTAAATGGAGAGACTGATGATTGGAGCCAGAAATGAGGGTCTGTGTTCGGCCTTGGGCCCCAGACCATCACCACAAGCTCTGTCCTTTTCAATTTGTAGCAACTCCCACTTTCTGTAGTTTCTCTTACAAACCCTGCTTGCTTTTGTCTCTTGTACATCTGGATTTAGATTGCAGAGGGTGGGTCCTTCTTCGATGGAAATCACCAGCAGTGGGTAGCCTCTGCAGTGTCTCTGTACAGAAAGCCCATGGGCTGTCATGCCATCTGAGGATCTTGCAATTTGTTTTCTAGAAATGAAACAAGATAGAGATAACCACATATTGGTGACTAAGGCTTGCAGATCTGGCTCAGTCAGTTAAGTGCATGCCATGCAGGCATGAGGGCCTGGATTAGACTGCCCAGAACCCACATCAAAAAGGAGGCAGAGGCAGGAAGATCCTTGGTGCTCATTGGCCAGCTAGCCCGAGACTAATCAGCAAGCCCATTGGTCACTATTAGAGGGAAGAGACTGTCTCCAATTTATACATCTGCCTTTGTTTCACTCACCAGAGTCAAAGTGGCTGAGATCCAGTGATAAGTGATTTTCCTCTCTTCTCACCTCTGCTTCTTACTAGTGTGTCCTAGAGTTAGTCCCCTGGGCTTTCTGGGCTTCGCAAACTCACTTGTAGAATGAGGGCGAGACACCAGCTGAGCACGGAGACTCCTGGAGTTTGAATGTGTGGGATTCAACCACAAATGAGACAATTTAGCTCAGGTGCAGGAGACTGACCCATGCCTGATGATGGATCTTAGAGCCCAGAGTGATTATAAATAAAAGGACAAGGGGGTGTCACAGTCTTGGACTTCTACCTAGCTCTTCTGAATGCAGCAGGGGATTCAGAAGCCTCCTCTACTCTGAATCTGTAGTGACTGAGAGCAGGTGGCCACGAGGACTCCGGCTTATGTGCTGAAGGGTCTGAGCTACTGTGTCTCTGTGAAAGACTTGACATTGCCTTCCAGGTAGGCAGACAGGGTCAAGGAGAGTGTGCTGTGGACCTTGACGGAAGGGAGGGGGACCACGTGCAGGAGCACAGATCCATTCCTTCCGTGATGTTTCTTCCTCTGGCAAGATTGGACCTAGCAAAGAGGGAGGGAGGGGGCTTGTGTTAGCAACAGCTTCCACATAGTGTGTTCTATTGCACCACTGATGAATGAATGCATTATTTACTGAATCATTTCTTCTTTGCAATCAGTAGTTAGCTCAGTAGAGAACTGAGGCCCTGAGAAACTTTGTGGCTTGTCTCGGGAAGGGGAGCAGTGATGCCAACTAATATCTCTGCTTCTGACCCCCAGTTCCGATCCCCAGCTGGCACAAAGAAAAACCCACTGTTTTCTGGAGAGCTCCAGGGAAACACACTCAAGTGGTCGAGGCATTAATCACTAGACTGCTATAAATGCTTCCCACACTCTCCTGTACTTTCCTAGAGGCATTTTGCTATTTTAAAAAGAAATGCACTAAAAATACATATAAAGTAAAATGTCCCATTTTAAGCATCTTAAACTTGCAATTCAGTGGCACAGAGAGTGTCCATAGTACAAGCGACCATTAACTACTGGAGCACTTTCACCACCTAGAAGTCTGACGACTGCCTTTACTTGGTGTCTGCCCTTGAATCATGACAGAGATTCCTGTAAACCAATCTGTGATGCACTCTCTCTTCCTCTTGTCCACTGGTCAGGGGACACCAACTTAGAAGTCATTTCAGTGGTCTGACCTGTAGCTTTACTAAATGGGGTGGTTTTGAACTACACTCTCCTGTCTGTGGGACCCTGGGAGTCTGGCAGAGCAATATAGCAGTGTTCGTCTCTGTTTGCAGGGACTTGGCTGGCAAGCAACCTAGAGCCTTTCGCCAGGGCCCTAGAGCTATGCTTTACACTCTCTAGGGGGATCATTTGGCATTGATGGCTTCAAAGAAGTAATTTCAGAGACCCGGCTGTGGGCTTTATTTCTTTCTTGATCCGTGTATCAATGTCATTTTTGACAGCTTGGTCTGGCCCTCATTGGTGCTGGCTGCGTGATCAGTGACTACAGAAACAGCATGCTCTTTAGGAGGGGCTGTTTCTGTGCCTTGGTGGATGGATGGTATTCATGATACTGGGCTGGACTGTGTTAGAACCAACTCTATTAAATGTATTAAATGAAGACTCTTCTATTCCATTCCCATCCCTTGTGAATGTTGATGACTTAAAAAACCCAATAATCAATTTGAACACTTAAAATTTTGGGTAAGACAGTGTCTGCAGACACTGTTTGGATGCTTGAGATGAAGCTGCTTCCCGAGGGATGTAGAACAAGAATTGGACTCTGGACATAAGTGAAAACAGGCAATTGCCCTGTAGAAAGCCCCAGAGAGGCCCTAGTGCCCATTACAACTCTCATCCATTCATTAGAAATGGCTTGCAGCTTCACTGTCAGTGTCTGTTCTGCTGTCGCCAGAAAGGGCTGCTGAAGTCTCACCAAGGAGAGGTAAGGGCCAAGGAAGGATCCCGAGTACCCCTCAGACAGGGCCAAACCACCGTATGCATTCCCTTAGCCATGTGCTTGCTGTGAGGTACGCTTCCTTTTTGCAGAGATCTGGATTCCAGTGGCTTGCTGAAGAACCCATAATTGACAAGATCACACCCTATCCATTAAGTTTTCTTATTCTTGAATGGGAAAGGACATGATGGGTCCTGGGCAGCTTTAGGGTAAGAAGGATCCTATCTAGTAGAGAGAGAGATAAGGATACTGAACAGCATAGTTTGCCCAAATGTATGCATTCAAGTTCCAAGATGGTTATGTGAATCCTTGACCATGCTGTTGAGAAGGAAAACTGAACCTCAAGTTAGGATTTGCAAGTGAGAACCAGTCAGACCCCAATCAGATGCACCTGCAGCGTGGCTGTGTCCCCTGTGGACTCCACAGGCTGTGTCATCTTTAAAAGTTTGGGCCATTTCTCTGAGGAGGCAGACAGATCTCTGTCTCTCTCTCTTCTCCCTCTCCTTCTCTCTCCTCACTTCCCACTCTCTCTCCCCTTCCCCCAATAAAGCTTCCTTCTCATGTTAAAAGAATGTTTGGGTTTGATGCTGCAGTGTTTGAGATGTCTCATCTTAGAGAACAAAGACACAAGCTTTAGAGTTATACAAGCTTGGGTTCATACCCTGACTCTGTTAGTTACTCACTGAATAGCCTTAGGCCGGCCACTAACCTTTCCAACATGTGTAACACATAGGCAAACATTCTTAAGTCATGAGCTTCCTTGAAGAAGTGAGGTCAGGTTGTGGAGAAGTAGGTAAGGCTGGCCAAGCAGCATTGTAAGTAGGACATGTGGCCCGACTTGGTTATGCGGGGCAGGTGGTGGTGTAGTTGCTGAGTCAGCAGGGAGTCTAGGCTCTGAGCATCCCTTCTGCCTTCTGCATCCTCAGTGCTCCAGGGCGTGGACAACTCGCTGGTGGGCCTGCACAATCAGAGCTTTGCCCGGGTCATGGAGCAGCGCCTAGCCCAACTGTTCATGATGTCCCAGCAACAGAGCCGGCGGTTTAAAAGGGCCACCACCTTGGGAAGCTATACTGTGCAGGTAGGTGTGTGCAATGGGGTTTTCTAATGGCTGCAGGGCAGATGTGTTTCCTGGGATTAAACAACTACATGTGCCCAGGCGCATCCATGCTGCCAACGGACTTAAATCACTTGATCAGCGTTCCTCTGAAGCTTTGGAGGCTGAGGGTCAGTCTCCTCCTTCGTTGTCAGTTACTAGATTACCAGGAAAGGAGTCTCTGTACATGTAGGTATTCGTGAAGAAAAGTTCCCAAGTGACCTCTCACCCTCCTGTCAATTCCTTGTAGCTCTCAAAGAAACTACCAGCACATACTTCTCTGGATTAGTTTAAAGGACTTGAGTGGTCAAGACATCAACTGTCCCCGTGAAAGCTATCTCCACCTCCCTCCACACCTTATCCAGTTCCTCCTTGAGTAGGAGTGTCCTTAGCATATTTGAACCAATCCAGGCAGCTTAAATATGATTAATTAACTTCATCCTTCACCACTGGAAACCCATATCTAACATGCTATACTAATTGACAAAACTTATATTACAAATGCCCTCCTAGTAATGTGGCCTTTTGCTGGCCTATGAACACCTGATTGACAACCGACCACATTTGCATAGACACATAGTGTCATGCTGTCAATGTGGAAATTGCAGACATCAGTACAAGGTGTCTGCAAATCATATCTCCATGACTTCTTGAAAGTCATCCACCTTCTCTCTCTGCATGAGCTGTATCACCGCCCTGGTAGACACTCCATGTCTCCTTATATGCAGTAGTAAATTGTGCTCATTGTCCTATTGGTTGTCAATTTGGTTCTGAAAGTTTGTTCCGTGCCAGTCCATCCCTAGGTAAAAGGATGGTTCATTTCACAAGAAGACAGGGTTGTGACTTCCCCTCTGCAGATGTGTTACATGTGAGCCCTACAATTCACGCTTTTCCTAATGGTAGAAAGCAAGTCACTGGTGACCATGTGACTGTGAAGAGATTTGCATCAGTCCGTGGGAGAGAAAGGACCATCTTACAAGCTCAGTGCTGCTTGTGGCCCTAACACATCCATACATCTCTGAGACTGCAGAGAGATAGCATGTCAGAGTGAAACAAACTGCATTTCTTTTTTTCTGCGAATGTCTACGTGCAGATGCTATAGATTGCTTCTGACATCATACTTGGCTAAATCTTGGCAAGAAGTGCTACCAAGTTGGAAATGAGTGAAGTTAATAGATATTTGAATTATCACTCACCTCTGCCAGGTTGTTCAAATACTGCCTGCCTCCTCCTCCACTAGGGAAAGGAGTGACATGTCTAAGACTCCCCAAACCCACACGATGGTACTTCAATTATCTTTCACCAGGAGGCCTTTCTTCTGGGTTGAGACATTTTATAGAATGACTTCCCTTCATAAATATGGAAATGTAGATGGCTAGAATTTAAGTTATTTCTGTAGTAGATGTATCTGGGAAGATGGCTCAGCCAGTGAAGTGCTTCCTGCACAGACATAGAGTTCTGAGTTCTGAGTTCCCCAGAACACACGCACACTTATAACACCAGGACTGGAAAGGGTAGAGACAGGCAGATCCTGGGGGTTCGCTAGCCAGCTAGCCACACCATCTAAGTGAGTTCCGAGTTCAGTGAAAGACACTTTCTCAAAAACCAAGCTAGAAAGTGATGGAGAAAGACACCTAAAGTTGACCTCTGAGCGCCACACAGGCAAGAGCAACACACACACACACACACACACACACACACACACAGAACATTACTTTTTAAAATATATTCCCTTTCTTCATATCCAAGTTGGGCGTGTTTCTGAACTTTGTATTTACTCAGTCCTGTATTTTCTAAATAGATTTTTTTACTCCCCATATGTAGATCCTTTAAAATATGCCATGTTGTTTTTCTTGTTTTAAATTTGAAATTCTGTAATTTGTAATTTACATTCATATGAACTGAAGTAGTTCATTCATTATATTCCATTATGTAACTTTCCATAACTCATTTATTCAATTTACTACTATTGATTTTTTAAGGATTTTTGGTGTTGTTGATGAACTTATTATAAACATTTTGTAATATCTTTTTATATTCTATGAAACTCAATATCTGTAATATATACTCTGAAAATACTATAATACAACATTTATCAATCAATTGCTAATTTTAAAAGCCGAAAGTTAAAATCCTAAATGCTCAATGCTTATGTATGTGGGCCTTCTGTGTCCCACCATTCAAACCCCCCCCACCAGCCGGCTCCCCCAATATCCACACTGAGACTTGTTATTAGTTATGAATGCTCAGCTGATAGCTTAGGCTTGTTACTAACTCTTACAACTTACACTAGCCCGCATCTCTTATCTACGCTCTGCTACATGATGGTACCTTTTTTCAGCGTGGCATGTTTGTCTTGCCTCTCTCTGAACCTCCTGGTGACTCCGCCCTCCTTCCCTACACCCTTTTTGTCCTCAAGTCCTACCCAACTTCTACCTGCCCAGCTGTTGGCCGTCCAGCCCTTTATTAGACCAAGGAAAGCAACCAATGTTCACAGTGTATGAAAAGATTGTTTCACAGCATTTCCCCATTGTATCTAATTAAAAGCTTTAGCATAGTAAAATTATATACAAGACAGTTATCAGGCAAGAATTGCAGTTACAGTATCCAGTCCATTTATATTTGGCAAATTTAAAGAAAATATTCTATTATCTATCTTTTCTTTGTGAGTCTAAAATTGTATACCTAATTTACTTTTTATCATAACTAAGGAAAATTTTAAGTCTAATTATTTAGTCTTTAATTCCATCAAAGACCCCAGAAGGGTGCAATGTTACCTAACTACAGGGACATCTGGTTGCCTCGACAGTCACCCACAGTTTCTCTGTAATGTTGGGGCATCCAACTTTGGCCTACAGGCCTAGAATATCTGGCAGACATTTCTGAGAAGCAGGGAATTTTGAAGGGCTGTCATACCTTGTCTTGGCAAAGATTGGCAGTTGCTTTCTTTTGCATTCTGCTGGTCCAGTTTGGACAGTACACTGTCAACAATTGAGGCAAGGGCAGTTCTTTGCCCAAATGGCTAGCATTTGATGCCCATCGTCTTCTCTGAAGTAAAATGGTTCTGCCAGCAGCAGACATGTCTCACTGTCAAGAAAAGCCTTATGTTATTAAAAACATTTTAAAATTCATATTCTATAAGTCTTTAAAGTATTTGAAGATCACCTATCTATCTATCTATAAATATATATATATATGTTTAACCTTGAAAATATACCTAAAATGACTACAAGTTTGATTATAATAGATGACTAACTACTACCCTGTATTTTAATTATACATTACATTTTTAAATGAGCACAATACCCCAAATAATAGTATAAACATACATATAATAAAACAAAAATAACTTTAAATTTGTATCAATAAACTAAAATCCATAGTAATGTAAAATATTTTTAGATTAATAGTTGCTTTTGGGATTAAAGTAGATTCAATCTACTCTTTTTCCCTATCATTCCTATGTTTACCATGCCTACAACCATACAACAGAACACATGTCCATATATTATGATTATCGTAACCATATCATATGATTATCAATTTGCAATTCCAAGTTAAAAGTAACACTCTACATGTCTAACAATAAAGAGCTTGTTCAGCAATCTTGTGAGGCAGATATTTGAATGCAATGTGGAAAGAAATGCTTCTACATTTGAAACAAGAGTTAATTTAAGAATGCAAGTAAAATGGTGCTCTGCATGTCTCTGAGGTGGCTCAGCAGGTAAAAGCACCTGCTACCAAGCCTGAGGACCTGAGTTCAATTCCTGGGACCCACATGATATCAGGAGAGAACCCATTCCTACAGGTTGTCCTCTGACTACACATGCATCATGTCACATATGTGTGTGTGTGTGTCTGTGTATGTATGCATGTACACATAAACATAACATGTGCAGTATAGTGTGGTATAGAGAGTACGATGGTTTTATAAGATAATAAAGAGAAAGTTTGTGTGGAGAATACAAAGACTAGGAACATAAGCTCCAAGATGATTAACAGTTCTTTAGTGGCAGAGGAAGGACTATACATTATTTTAATTCTTTCATTGCTTGATGCTTCTTCATTGAAATGTAAACTTTGTAGTTAAAAAAAAAGCAGTCCTCTACACAGCTTATTTAGAAAAAGAAGTTTGAGTTTCTGAGTACTGCTTTTATCAGAGGCCTCCTCAGTTATAGACAGGTCTTTTTCCCCCTTTCAGGCAATTCAAGCTTTTAGAAACTGGTACCTTGTTTGGGATAGCCTAGTGTGCCCTGAATTAACAGGGAGGCCTATTTTCAAATGAGGCCAGAGCTCCTCGGAGGCTGGGATACGTTGCCTTTTCCTGTTTCCATTCCCAGCTTCAAACTGCTTTCCAGATGTTGGTATGTTTCAAGCCCTGCTTTCTCCTCCCAGTCTCTCATCCCAGGGATGACAAGCTTCCCAAGACTCTGGCTGTAAGGAGGCTCACTGGACTGATGTCTAGCCTGGGGGTCCACTAGGGCACAGCAGGCCTCAGTGACTGGATGAGGTGAGCCTTCTGATGGCTCAGAGGCCTGCAGGGCCTGTCCAAGATGCTCTGGCAACACCCTGCTTCTCTTTTCTTGGAAGATGGTAAAGATGCAGCGAGTGCCAGGACCAAAGGACCCAGCAGAGCTGACGTACTACACACTGTACAACGGGAAGCCACTGCTGGGGACCGCAGCAGCCAAGATCCTGAGCACCATCGACTCCCAGAGGATGGCCTTGACCCTGCATCACGTTGTCCTTCTACAAGCTGACCGTAAGGAGTCTGTTCACTCAGTGCTTTGCTGGCATTAATTATTTTCTGTGCATCCCGGAGGTCCTCCAAACCCTTATCAGTTGTCTTACGGCTGAACAAAGTTTGGTTCTGGGAGGTTTGAAAATCAGTCAGCTATGTTTTCTCTTAAAGCTTTAAATAAGGGATACGATTTTCAATGTCTAAATGATGATATGTGATAATGTCACTTCATCCCCAGGTGCTACCTCCTCTTCCTCCTCAAATCCTGCATAATCTAGCTACATAAAAAAAACTGCAGCTGATCATATTTATGTGATGGGGGAATTAAAGATAATTTGATTCAGTGAACATTCAGTTCTTTCTGAGCTATGCTTAGTACTGGAGGACGTCAGAAGTGGGTGACACCTGGTTTCTGGCTCTGAGGGACCGAGTTGTTGATACGTGGGCCTGGCAGTGGGACACTGGTACCTGTGAGGGAGGCTTTGCTTTGAAGGGTCCCCTGGGATCAGGGGACAGAAGAAGGGCATTAAAACCAACACACTCTCTGTGGCAGCTCTAGTGGCACTTACTATGCTCCATTTATTTACCTTCTATTCTATTAGAGCTCTGTTTATTCAGCTCCAAACTACAGGAGGGGAAACAGGCTCAAAAAAGGTAGAATAACCTGCTTACCTATCACAATCAAGCACTTAGCCAAGACGCCAATCTGGACTAAAGATGCAATTCTCCTGCTCACTCCCAAAGCCATCTCACTTTAACCTCTGACCTTCACCTCTTTGTCTCCAATCCACTGGCTCTTTCGGGTCTCTTCAATAACCCACACATCAAAGCCCTCCTCCATTCCTTTGTTCTCCCCATCTCCAGCTACAGCAGTAGCTTCCACACACACACAGTGATGCGTACGTTTGTGTACCTTTGATACTGCCATTGGAATCACTGCGATCAAGTTTGGGTTCTGCTCTTACATCAACTCCATAAAAAATAAGTATTATCTCTCCATCATCTATAGAATGAAGTGTGTGCTCCTGGAAATGGGTCTTCAAGGTAGCTCCTCTCAGCACCCACTCAGGTCTCTGTATAGCCCGGTCTCCAGGTATCCTAGTTTGCTTTCTGTTGTTGTGATAAACACTATAACCAAAAGTAACTTGGGGAGGAAAAGGTTCATTTCATTTTACACTTCCATGCCGTAGTCCTTCATTGAGGGAAGTCAGGGCAGGAGCCCAAGCAGAGGCCGTGGAGGAACACTGCTTACTGGCTTGCTCCCATGGCTTACTTAGTTTTCTTCCTTGTACCACCCAGGACCACCTGCCCAGAGGTAGCACCACCCACATTTGACTAGGCCCTCCAATATCAATCATTAGTCAAGAAAACACCCACAGACATTCCTCCAGGTCAATCTGATAGGGACATTTTTTTTTCTCACTTGAGGTTCCTTATTCCCAGGTGACCATCATTTGTATTAAGTCTGTTAAAATATGTACCTGCACAACAGGCTATTCTTCCTGCCACACAGCCATCTTTCCCCTTCCTGTCTAATGCTTCAACCCTGAGAGTGGACTCACTACTCCCCATCCTTGTCCTGAATGGACAGGCTAAATAACCAAATAAATACCACGCTAGATGGCGGTAAATGCCACAGAGGCAGGAAAGGCTGTGGATATGGAGGAGATGAAGTTGTGATTTAAGTTGTTGTGGGGTGGGGATGAAGAGGATCAGGGAATAGCCAGTTAAATGGGAGTTGGGAGGGAACAGAAAGATTCCTGAAGCCCTCTAGGCCCTGGGTTCAGACAGAGGTGGGCGTGAGGCTGAGTGAGAAGGTTCACAAGAAGGAAGAGTAGAAGTGGTGAGATCTTAGGCACAGGAGAGGGGCCCCACGAGGTCTCACAGGCTGGTCCTGAGTGGGGGAGAAGCTGTGGGAGGGGTTGGGCACGAAAGGAGCATAGCCTGAACACTCACTCCTCAGCAGAACCCTGGGTGGGGTAACCCTGCAGGGTTACTTGCCCAGCTATGGACGCCAACATTTGAGGAAAGAAGCTTGAACATAGCTGGCCGCTTCTCCTTTTAGTGCTGTCCAGACTCACTTAGTCTGCGTTTACGCTGATGGGATCCTTCTAGTGAATGCTTATGGAAGCACACATCTAGATGCCGGCTCGCCCCTCCATTCACATGTGATAGCTCAGAACGGACCTGTTTTAGAGTGGTTTTGGGGAGATGACCTTTCCACATCACCTTGGCTCTCAGTTTCCTCGTCTGTGAACCCGGATGAGCACAGTATGCAGGCAAGGGCCGTGCCATTGTGTCGGACGCTGAAGAGGCACTCGGAGCTTGTCTTTTTTTTTTTCCTCTACTGAACCTCTTGCAATTTAAATGGCCACTTGGGCCATTTCACCCTGTCCATGGCCTTGTACTTTCAGATCACATGCCAATGAATACATTGGATTTTGATGACTCCAATTGACCTAGCTTTAATATCATTTCAACCACTAAAGGAATTTATTAATGTGTATAAGATAAATCTGTTCTGTCCCCATTTAAACAGAGGTGAAGGAGTGTTACATACTGTACCAGAAAGTCATCTACCTGACAATGAAACCAAATCAAATCAGAGTACGTATCTAGTCCTGCTCACTAATTCTATACATATGTATGCATTTCCTATGTATGCATATATTGATAAATATGTATGCATTTAGAACTCATTCTCATACACTACGTGTGTATCTCTATCATGTGATGAGTTGGATATCCTGGTCTGCATCAGAACAAAATAGGCTAGCCTGAAGGAGGCATTAGTGCTACTTTCCACAGAAGCTCTGAGCTTTAGAAAATGTTAACGACAGGGAACTCACATATAAATACAAGCTACTAAGAGCAGTAGCAATTAAATGCAATGTCAACAGAGACACATTATCTAATGAGCTGTTTTCAGAAGTTAATAATGTGATTAATCACCGATTGATACAAACCGTGGAAAGAGAAACTCTTCTAATACTAATAGGATTCAGAGCCCAAGGGCAGCCAGATAATTTGGCTAACAAGGGACCAGCTGAAGTGGAGGTGGTTGAAGTCAGAGGAAGGCCAGCTGGCTCCTCAGACAGATCATCCCCATGTGTCACTTACCAGCAGGGCTTTGGTATTGCAGGGTCTAAGTCCTCAGCTTTGAGGCCATGCAGCCTCCAGAATTCAGTGGAGTTAGGAAGACTTATGCCAACCAAACATATCAAAGAACAAAATACAAAGTAAACTGTATTAAATTAATTTAAAATATGAACTATAATTCTAGCTTGATCTCATTGTGACAGGTATAATAGTTTATGTTCTCAAGCCTTGAGCTTCTGGTTAAGCACTCATTATGTGGAAGGTCTTAACCAGGTCCTGAGGATGCCCCTATGATTCACACGCATGCACACACACACACACACACACACACACACACACACACACACACGTACACGCACACACACACAGAGAGAGAGAGAGAGAGAGAGAGAGAGGGGTGACAAGATAGGAAAATGCCCGTGCTGACATGCATTTTAGAGTTTTGCTGCCGTGACCAAGAGGCCTGGTACAGAGACATCATCCAGGAGCTTTGGGGAAGGGAGTCTGGAAAAGCCTCATGATGCTGACAGGATTCGTGCTCAGGATGTTGGATATGCAGAAGAGTCAGCGTCGAGGGCATGGTGATGGCTTGCCTAGCAGTGGAGCAGGATTGGAGATGGAAAGGTCTCAGGAAGAACAGGTCAGGGAGAGAGAGAATCAAGAATTATGTCGTGGGGGCCAGTAAGATGACTTAGTGTATAAAAGAGATTGCTGCCAAGCCTGATCTGTGTTCAATTCCCCGAATGCACCTGATCGGAGGAGAGAAGTTGTCCTCTGTCCTCTGGCCTTAGGGACAACAGTTAGCTGAAGCCTGATAGCCTAACACCCAGCCGCAGCATTGAGTATGCATTCTGGGCACACTCCCTACCATGGGCAAGTCCCCCTTGATCTTTGCTGCAGACAACTTCCTTCCTGTGACCCCTCCCACAGGCATCTGTTTGGATTCCTGTTTTACTTACTCCACTTCTGAAGTTAACCCTTTTGATTTGACTCAAGTGTTCCCTGAAAACCCCTGTGTGTAATCCTGGGAGAGGCTCACTTGCCTCACATCAAGGGTCTTTTCTCCTTCCCACATTTTCCTAACCCAACTTAAAAAAAAGCAGTGAAAGATTTATGCAATAAATAACCAGGTACCCACCCTTCCAGAACCCACAGTTAGCGCTTTATTATTTTTTATCATGTATTGATTTATCTCTCCTCTGCTCCCTGCCCCATGTACTTCAAAGTTGCAGAGTCAACCCTAAACATGTTGATGTGCATATCACTAACCAGAATGTACCATCAGCTTGTGACACTGCAATAAAACATACACACAGTGGGGATGTTCAGACCTTAAATGTGTCATCTGATGAGTGTTGACAGAAGCGCACGGCTATAAGAACAAGTCACTGTCATGGTACAGGGCATGCACGGCTATAAGAACAAAGTCACTGTCGTGGTACAGGGCATGCACGGCTATAAGAACAAAGTCACTGTCGTGGTACAGGGCATGGCCGTCTCTGCATCATCTCTTCAGGGTTTATGTTGCTGCCCCACCCGTTGAGGACACCTGCTGTTCTTGTAACCTATCCCCCTACTGAGGACAGCCTGGTCCTTGTGGCTAGGCCAAGGCATTTCTAAGCTTCCCAGACACATTCTGAGGGGATCATCTGCTCATGTTACGTCTGCTCCTTACTCACAGGATGGTTTCACTAACATAGTTGGAGTCTGTAATGTAGTCTTCCTGCCTGCTGCCTGGATCCTGTTGTCACTTCAGCCCCCAAATAACACACAAGATACCATATTTATTATGAAGCTGTTGGCTGCCTGCTTGGCTTCCTATTGGCTAGCTCTGATTTTATTATTAACCCACAATTATTAATATATATTTCATAAGAATGTATCTTTTTGAGGACGCACTCCTGAGCATCCATTGCTCCCGGAAGATCACATGGCGAGAGCTCTCCTCACTACAATTCCCAGAATCCTCCTAGACTCCTAGTCCCACCTATCTTGTTTCCCTATCGGCCAACAGTGCTTTATTCAAACCAATCAGACACATATTTACAGAATGACATCTCCCAACAGGAGTCATCTTTTATTTATTTATGTATTTATTTATTTATTGTTTCGAGACAGGGTTTCTCTGTATTGCTTTGGAGCTTGTCCTGGAACTCGCTCTGTAGACCAGGTTGGCTTCAAACTCACAGAGAATTTGGAGTCATCTTTTGATGGCTCTTGCCTCCTGACTCCAACATACATGTCTTTGTATTTGTGTGTTACTGGAAACTTGCTGTGGGTGTTAGGGACTTGAACTCAGGTCCTCAAGCTTGCAGGAAAAAGCTCTTACCCATTGAACCATCTCACCAGCCCCTCCAACATGCATTTCTAATCCTCATGTGTTTTTCTTCTTCTCTCTTTTGACTATCACCAACAAGGAGAACGGACACTACTTGGTGTTCCTCTTTCTGCTCTTGGGAACAGTGGGGGCTAATGTCAACTGAACAGGAGTCACAGAAAAGCACTACAGAGCGGGGCTGTCATTTTACAGATTCAGAGAACACAAGCAGCTTGCCCAAGGTCCTACAGCTTCAGAGGCTGTTGAGTTCCGTCTCTCCCTGTCTTCTTACCTGGGGTTGGGAGTTATGTTTGGGTGGCTTTCCCCTACCTAGGGCTCCTTGTCATGTGCTTCTTCCTGGCTTTTCCCCATAGCCGTTGTGAAGAACCCACCCAACAACCTGTGGATCATAGCTGCAGTGCTGGCACCCATCGCTGTGGTCACTGTCATCATCATCATCATCACTGCTGTGCTCTGTAGGAAGAACAAGAATGACTTCAAGCCGGACACCATGATAAACCTGCCTCAGAGAGCGAAGGTACATGTGGGCATGGGGAGGGCCAGGAGCTCTGCCTAGAGGCTCCACCCACCTTCCTTCCAGGCTTCTGAGGTTGTCAAGTACCTTCAGAAACATGTCACATACCCTCATTCCAAAGGATACCCTTCTTGTTATAATGAGCATGTAACACACGCTTCTACACTGCTTACTCTCTCCCACAAACATTTTTGAGTAGTTGACACACAGTGCATCTCTCATCATCACCATAGCCTCTTGAGGAAGGACAATTATTTTACAGACAGAGAAACTGAGGCACTGACAACTGGTAGCAAGAAAGGCATGAAAAGACCTCAGATATCTTTTTTTTTTTTTTTGGTTTTTCGAGACAGGGTTTCTCTGTATTGTTAACTCACAGAGATCCACTTGCCTCTGCCTCCTGAGTGCTGGGATTAAAGGCTTGCGCCACCTCAGATATCTTTAATAATTGGACCCCACCTCCTTGTACCAGCAAAAAAGTAACTCCTTCCACTCCCCCCAGATTCCATAGATAGTGAGCAGCAGAACTGATGGTGAGACTAAGCCTGCAACTGTCTGAACATACTAGCCTCCAGCGTGAGGGTGTTACGAGGTTGGTTGGGGAAGCTAACTGGGCTGTGAAGGTGGGGCTCCCAGGAGTGGGATTAGTACCCTGGGAGTACTAATCTGGCCTCTTCTACCACGTGACCACACAAGAAGTGGGCAGTATCTAGCCCAGCAGTGAGCCCTCACCAAAGCCCAGCTGTTCTGACATCATAACCTCAGCCTTCCAGCCTCAGAACTATATCGGCCTTTTACAAGCCTCTTGATTAATGGTATTTTGTTGTAGTGGCCGAGGCTGACCAAGGCAAGGTCTCTTGGCTCCTACACAAAACCTCTTTGAGCACACAGACTCCTAGAAGTTTCTTCATCCCACTAATGACCCTGCTTCTGCCAGTGCCATGATGGACAAGCAAAGGTTAGGCTGGCAACTACCAGATACCAATTCAGTAGCCCAAAGAAAACCTGACTGATAGCCCTGTCCTCCCTCTGTCACCGGCATGCCTCTTCCCCACCCACCTAGGTGACTAGGAGGATGGTGGACTAAAGGCTGAAGTAATTCTGAAGCTAATTTTCCAGTCACATAGCTGCCTTTGTGATAGTCCCTGTGGTAAATGTCCAATCTGTAATACCCGGTGTTTAAATAACGTCTTACAGTCTGCTGGCTGTTCTAGGTCTGTCCCCTCATTTGTCATCACAGCTGTCCTGGGAGGTAGGTCACAGTCAGGGCAGGTTGCGTTATCCTCACTTAACTGCCAAGAAATCGGAGGGAGAGACATAGGGACTTGTCTAGTCATACCTCAAACAACAGAGAGGTGACCAAAGCCTGCATGCATCTGTGTGTGTGTGTGTGTGTGTGTGTGTGTGTGTGTGTGTGTGTGTGTGTTGTATGTACTTGTTAGTATGGGCGCACATGCAGTAGGTGCATACAGATGGAAACCAGAAGTTTCTGCCAGGTGAGATGACTTCCTCTCTCACTTGCTATCTCTAACTGAATTGAAAGCTCACTGAATGAGCCCAGGTTGGCTGGCCAGTGAGTTTCAGGACTTGCTTGTCTGCTCTCCCCTGCCAGCTCCTGGGGTTACAAACATGTGCCACCACGCCCAGCTTTTACATGGGCTCTGGAGATCCGAACTGGTTCTCTCACAGCAGGCACTTTAACAACTAAGCCTCTCCGCAGCCATTATATACCTGCCCACACTCTGACACTTGGCAGGGCTTCCGTTCCCAGCTCTGAACCTCCAAACTCCACCTGGTCCTGTAGACATGGGGCAGCAATTTGCCACTGCCTCTGACTTCCTACACACTGCAATTGTGTCAGCCACGGAGCTTGTCCTTGGAGGGTCATGCTGGGCTCTGGTGTGTTTGCGTGACACAGCTCACTTGAGTGCAAGGAAGCAAAGGTACTTTTATTCCATAGTAAGCGGATACATCTGTGGGGAAGCTGGAGCCTGATTAGACAGTCTGTCTCCTGGGGCACCAACCCCCCCAAAAAATGTTGTTCTGTGTCTGTTGACATAAGGCACCTGCTTCCCAGACACGATGGGGTGCTGAGGAGAAGGGTACACTGGGAATTGTCAAGCTGTGAAAAATGAAACTGTTCCAAGACAGAATATTTCATTTCCATCTGAGCTTGCCTACGACATGAGTCTTTTTAGACATAGCAAGTAATTATCAGAATCACAACCTAGTCCAGGAATGCAAAATATGCCACACTGGAGCTGGAAAGGGAAGCTTTGAGTTAAACCAAAATCTGCATTCGTCTGCCAAGGTGAGCATCTTCCCCCAGCCCCCCTGGCTCGGCAGCTCTGGAGCTAGGACAGATGAAATGTTGGTGGCTCCACACAGCTCCTTCCATGTGCCTACCCTAGGCACTGTGCTTCTTAGATGCCTTACCTGGCGTTGAAAATCAAGCCGACCTATGGCACATGAGCTGCTGTGTGCTCCTGCGTGCAGCTCAGCTGGTCGTCACTCCCACAGTGATGGTGGGTGTGACACTACAATTCCCAAAGCCCCTTTGTTGCAGGAAGCCAGCAGAGTGGAACTGCCTAGCGCTGTGGTCCTGCTGGGCAGAGTCAGGGACACTGCAGTGTCTGAGAGACTGCTGCATGGAAAGCGTGAGCAGAATTCAATGAATGCCAAGGGGCCAGGCACAATAAGAAAGTGAGCCATAGGCACCAATCAGTAGCCACGGCAGACGGCCCCAGGGACATTACTGCATTCTCTGCACGCAGGCTGCAGAGCCAGAGGATCCTGGGGACCCATCCTAAGACTCAGTAATATACTTAGCATGCTAAGCAGAGAAGGCAAGTGAGCTTTTCTGGGAGCTGAGGCCAGAGAGGAGTGTACACCCTCTGCAGAGACAAGGTACATGGGCACACTCTGTTGCTATTGCTGTCAGCTAGCTTTTTGCAGGGAGAGTGCTGAGAACATGGTATCGTGGCTTTCCTTACCTCCTGTCTTCCTTGGCCACCCCTCTTAATTCTTGGTCAATGAATTTGCAGCCTTCCCTCACAGCTCCCCCTTCATATAAAGAGAACATAGTGAGAACAGGCATCTTTAGGAGAAGGTCACTAGAGCCTACCCAGATGCAGGGTAGACCTTGTAGGGCCTGCGGAGGCTGGCACACAAACTGCTTGGGACAGGCCATTCATCCCCTAAGAATAGCCACAGTTTTCCTCTTCCTCACATGCTACCTATATGACCTTTGCGCAGTTATCGTGCCTCTTTGAGCCTTGAGCTCCCCATCTGTCAAATGGGGATAGCAGCACCATTCATGGGTAGGCAGGTATAAAGATTAAGTGAATTTAAAGTATGTAAATTGCTTTAAGCTCTTCCTGGTCTATAATAGATGTCACATAAAAATTGACTTTTACTGTTTTGTGTACTTTTGTCTTAAAAGCTAATATAACTGTCTGCCTTTAAAAATTATTGGAGATTACTATTACTAGTAGTGGTGATGGTGGTGGTACCAAGGATTTAACCTGGTACCTTGTGCATGGCAGGCAAGTGCTCTGCCACCGAACTGTTTATTCCCAGTGTAGAAATTACTATTTTGATTTGGTAAATGTATGAAACTCACCAGAATGATGTACTGTTGAGGTTGGAAGTTACCAATGTGTGTCAGATGAGCAATTGATCAATGCTAGGCAATTTCCAAAGAGTTAAGCCCATTGCCCTGAGAGTCAGAAAATCAAGGACCTAGGCTTTGATTTTTATCACTTAGCTGTGTTCTCTTGGGCATTCACTGACCTCTCTGAGATTTTGTATTTTTCCTATAACGTGAAGACTAATGTTTACCTGGCTTTCATCTTTCAAAAAGAGAAATCAGTGTTTTCTGTGTGGTACCAAACACTTGTGTAGATTTTTTTTTAACTTACTAACAATGGCTACCTCGGGAGCTGTCATTTCTTAGTGTCTCTGTTTTCACACACTCACAGGTGGCCCAGTCTTCAGAAGTATCCAGTGGATAGAAGTGTGGAGGATGAGGGGTCAGGTAGAGAGCTGTAGGCAGAGGATGAAGTCCTGGGTTCTTGGGAAGTCTTAGCTACTGGAGACTTCCCATCCCTCACAGACAAGCCCATGTTGCCAGGGCAGAAACCAGGCCAAGCACAGTAAACAATGCCCAGATAAGATGGCCGGCCCCATCACAGGTATTTTGCTGCCTGTCTCTTCTCAAAGCTGACAGTGGAGACACTTCTCTAGACATCTGACTTCAAACTTTCTTCTTGCTCACAGCCCGTGCAAGGCTTTGACTATGCCAAGCAGCATCTGGGCCAGCAAGGGGCAGATGAGGAGGTCATCCCTGTGACCCAGGAAACAGTGGTTCTTCCCATACCTGTCAGAGATACTCCTCAGGAAAGAGAAACGGCTCAAGATGGGAGCACCATCAAGACGGCTAAGTCCACTGAAACCAGAAAGAGGTAGGCATGGGCGAGCTTCACCCTCCTATCAGCAAGAGAAATAACTGACCGAGAGAGCTGTGGCCCTCAAGTGAGTTCCACTGTCCTTTTCATCACCCCTCTATCCCCCATCCCCCAAGTTCAGGTTTAATAATGAAAAGGAGAGTAAGAGAACTCTTGGTTGATTAGCCTTGACACTGGGCCCTATATCATCAATAGAGGTAGAATTCTATTTATGATAACAGATTTGGCTCTGGTGTCACATTGTTAACACCTCTAAAATCGGTGCCTCTGATTCATGACAGTTGTGTTTTACCAGCAGCATCTCATGAAGCTACTGCTTTCAGTAGGAATCCCACACTGAGTGTGTACTATGAGCAAATCTCTTTGGAACAATTGGGGATGGTGGCTGGCTTTAGTGTCAGACCTCTACAAAACATGCACACCACACGTGTGAACACTCATACACATGGAAATGGAAATGGAAAAAGGAAAAATAACCTGAGCTCTTTGACTGGTGTTGAAGAACTGCAAAAGTGTGCCTGATTGATTTCTGCCCCCAAGAATCCCATGATGGGAGAGACAAGAGGGTTAATGATGGAAGAGCGAGCATCACAATTCAAGGTACTCACCGTGGGGCCTGAGGAAAGCAGTGGCAGAGAGCAGAGACAACAAAGACGCCATGGGGTGTCATCCAGGCATTTGTCACACAGCAGGCCCTTCCACTGAACCTTGAGGGTGGAGGGGTCAGAGTAGGTGGGATGGGTAAAGGGGCCATCTGAAAGTGGGGGAGAAATGAGGCGTGTATGGGCTTCTGCACACAGCATTTCCCCGGAGTCAGCTCAGCCTTCACAGTTAGGACATGGTAAAATGTGAGAACAGAAGATGGATTAAAATTTTGGATGGCCTTGCCTGCCAGGCTCAGGAGACTGACCTGATTCCCCAGGCCATGGGAAGCTACTGAAAACTCTCCAAGGAGCAGTGGCATCTAACCTGTACCTTAGGACTGGTCTCAAGGTGATATAGATGACAGATAGGAAAGATTAGTCTAGAGGCTGGGAGGCTCATTACAAAGTCTTTAGAATGGTCACATAAAGAGACAGGGAAGCCAGCGGCAGGCCCCATTGGTTAGCTAAAGCAACACTCCTTGGCAACCCATTCTCCCTTGTTTCAAAGCACTATGGGAGCAGGAACACTTTCTCCCCCTGCCTCCCTCTCTTCTCTTCCTCTTTATTTAACAGTTATGTACTGCCTGTTTGCTGTTTGCCAGGCTCTGGAGCTATCCCAAAGAACAAGACAAACTTTCTATTCATGTCGAAGTTACAATCTAAAATGGAGTGTGGAGGGGGCTGTTTTAGATAGAAAATCAGGGAAGACCTTAATTAATGTCATTAGGAAAAGATACCATTGAAATTATATGTCAGCTATGAGTAGACTTGCTAAAGGAGGAATGTTCCAAGCAGATGGAGCAGTGTGTGCAAAGTCTGGAGGGGGAGGGGGTTCTTGACATGCCTGAAGAAAAGTGATGTGGTCAAGAGGGCCGGTGTGTACTATCGAGAAAATAACAACAGATGAATCAGGGAAGCTGCCTGTAGCTAAGTGGTCATGTCAGGTACTAGAGATCAAAGTCAGACTGGATTTGTATGTAGATGAAGATCAGAAGTCATGGGAGGGCTTGAAAAGAGAACTGACATGCGCTGATGGATTAAACGTTAGCTCTGTGTGGAAAACAGACTATAGGGATTCACAGTAGAAGAAAACCCCAGGACACCCAGTAAAGCAACAGCGGCATGGCTGGCGAGCATTGTGGTGTGAGAGCGGCTGAACTGTTAAAAAATGCCGTGAAGGAATGCATAATGCAGGTGACAGGCTGCCATAGGATTTGGAAGTGAGTGAAGTGCATTTGCCATGCATTTGTGTCAGAGAAGGCTGGAAGGAGATCAGCTTCTCTGCCACTAGTAGGTACACAAATGAAAGGTCTGAGAATCATTAATCGTATGAGACGGGAGTTTGCAGGAGAGGCTCAGAGTAGAGATACAGTTATGGGAGTTGGTGGAGTTCTATTTTCCTGCAAGACTGGAAAGATCCATTTAGGAGGAGAAAAATAGAGAAAGGAAGAGCTCCAAGAACTAAGCCTTGGAAGCATTGCTAAAATTAGAGGTGCAGAGGATGTGCCAGAGTCAGAAAAGCAAAGAGAAGATGCAAAAGAGGATGAAATGGAGACAAGGAGAGGAGAATCCAAGAATCAAGGTTGTTCGGGGAAGCAGAGACTCCACTGTGGATCATTAATCTTGTCTCCCATCACAAGATTTCGGGGGCAGAATTCCATCTTAATGCCAGTCAAAGAGCCCTGGCTGTTTTCCCTTCTCTTTTTTCGTTTTCCTTTTTCATGTATGTGATGTGTGTGTGTGCGTGTGTGTTCACATGTGTGTATGCACAGGTGTTTGGTGTGTATGTGTATGTGGAGGTCTGAAGTTAATGTCAGTCACTATCCCCAATTGCTTCACAGAGCTTTGCTCATAGAAAAACAAAAACAACAACAACAACAAAAAAAACTCTCCATGAAGTCAAGCAACAGAGTTGTATTTTACTCTAGAAGCTCTTGGTACCTTAAAAAGTAGTAAAGAGCAGTGGATTTCACCTTATGTGGAAAATAAAGTTGAAGACATGAATTAGTCATCTATAGCCCCATAACAAAGCACTCCAAAACTTCTATGCTTAAAACAAACTCATTTGTTCAGTTCATGATTTGGGTGGGTTAGTAGCTAGAGGTCTGCTGGGTGGGTCTTCTGGTCCAAGATGGCAATATTATCTGGAATTACCAGAACACCAATCATATGATAGAAATCAAGTCAGCAAGTTTGCATTGTTGCCAACAGTCTTATCTGGGGTGGCCCAGGACACTAGTCCTCTCTCCACGTGGGCTCATGTTCCAGCAGACTTTTCACAAGGTGGTTCCAAGGATCCAAGGGTAGCTAGGAAAACATCTCCAAATGCAAACATTTCTCAAGTCTCTGCTTCTGCCATGTTTCTTTCTTTCCTGTTGGCCAACCAAGTCACATGTTCAAGTCAGAGACACTGTAGAAGACCTCCCAAAGTTTGATTGCACCGAGGTGTAAACAAAGCTAGCACCATTACTGCAGTGGTCCACCCAGCATAGAAGATCAGGCAGAGCAGAACTGAGACACATGCATACAGATGGGTTTTCTAGAGAACTCATCCATTGTGTGACTTATAGCATTATTCTCATGCGGATCCTTGCCGAGCACAATAAAGTCATGTTGACAACTTATCACCCATTTACAAGAAACTGAAAAGGAAGAATTACTAAATTAAGGTATTGATGTAGCACTCCTGGGAAGAGTAAAAATTCTTTCTTACCATTCAAATTGAGTACTTTAAATCCTGTAGGGATTGATTTTTGAAACTTGTTTGAAAACACACACTTCTTGAGGTAGCAAGGAGTCACCTCTTGCTAATTAAGTTCAATTATGTATTCCCATTTTTATTAAGAAATATTAGCTTATGAAATAGAGGAAAGGGGAGCAATTTCTACACTGTGGCATGATTTCTACATCTGCTTCATTATTTCATCATAAAAATATAATTTTACTAAGAGCTAGCTACAGCATTGCCCAGGCTATGAACCTCATCTTTGTTCATGAATGTCTGATCATAAAAGTCTAAGATCACTTGTGAAGATTGTGTGTGTTCATGTATAACGTATGTGTGTCTGAGTGTGTGCATGTGTCCACATTAAAGTAGAGACCAAGGATCAAGGTTAGTGTCTTTCTGTCTTCCCCTGTGGCTCTTTTCCTTTTTATTTTTTCCCACTGAACCCAATGCACACCAGTGGAGTGGATTAGTATGGAGTGGATTAGTTGGCCATCAAATCCTAGGGATGTGCACTTCTCTGCCCCTGCACTCGGGTTACAGATATGCACTGCCAAACTCAGTTTCTCTTGCTTCAATGGCAACTGACCCTTCTCCCCAGCACCATTTTAAGTTCCAAACCCAAGAGCAAACCCATCTTGCCACATCAGTTTCCTCATTCCGGTTACATGTGGGCTGACTTGTGGGCCCTCTCAGAAGGGATCTGCTAGATGAACCCCCAAATTTTGCAAGTGAAAATCAATGATTTAATAATTATTGATATTCTTACATTTTAAACATTCTTTAAAAAGAGAAGTCTGAGCATTCAGTCACTGCTGGCCTGCCTCCCCTTCCTCCTGTCTGGGGACTTGGTGATGCTATTTTGTTTGTCTGTGACCAGGATGGATGTGCCAGGTCAAGGTTGGAGAATAGTCGGCCTCATAGGAACAGTCGTAGGAAAAGGACTCCTGCATTAGTGATGAGCCAGACTGTTTAGGAACTGGTTAGGTCCCGCACAATCACACGTCCGTCCGCAGTTCCAGACTGTTTAGGAACTGGTTAGGTCCCGCACAATCACACGTCCGCCCGCAGTTCCAGAAAAGGGACCATTGAGTTCTGTAACCTTAAATCTCAATCTCAGAGCTAACATGTCCTTGCTTTTAAGGTACTTTTATTGGTGTAATGTGCACATATACACCACGCATGCTCTTTATATTTCTGACCAGAGGTTTAGAGTTGGATGCTCACTGTAAAGAGAGTTATATAGACAGAAACAAAGACTAAAGCAGATTGGATTTTTCTCCACAGAAATGTGCTCGCTGACACCTTTCCTCAGAGTGAGAGAAACATTAGAAGATTCTTTCAGAATCAAATGGAGAAAGGGAATTAAAATGTTACAAAAAATCACTAAGCAGCTTACAAATGTAAAATAGATTATAAATCACTCCCCCAGCCCTCCCTAAAGGTAAATGAAAATCTTTTTATCCAATAAAGCCAGCTGGAGAGTAGGCGCTGTGAGCGAACAGATTCTGAAAACAATTCAAGGATGCAAGTCTCCCCTCTGTCTCTCTGTCTCTGTCTCTGTGTGTGTGTCTTCCCCCCACAACCAGCATTCAATAGTCAATTAGCTGTTGGACACATATTATATATGTTCCATATATAATAAGGATACAGTCACTTAATGCCTGATCCCTATTTCCAAATTATAGTCTTTATAATACTAATGTAACAAAATGACAAAAAAAAATCAGCCACGTAAGTTGGAAGATGCTGCATTAAGTGAAACAAAATGAACCCTGACAGAATTGACCAGAGCCTCTGGTATGCTACCACAGTCAGAGGCATCCAAAGAAGAAATGCAGTGAACATTTCCCAAGTCCCATGTGCAGATGTTTAGTTTGTGTGTGCTACAGAACATAATTGGCAGGTACTGCCTCATCCCAGACATCCTAACCTTCACTCTTGGTAACTTGTAGAGTTCTGTCTTAGTTAGGGTTTCTGTGGCTTTGACAAAACAATAGGACCAAAAAACAAGTTGGGGGGAGGGGTCTAGTTGGTTCATACTGCTACACTGCTGTTCATCATCAAAGGAAGTCAGGACAGGAGCAAGGCAGGAACCTGGAGGCAGGAGTTGATATAGAAGCCATGGAAGGGGCTACTTGCTGGCTTGCTCCCCTTGGCTTGCTTTCTTGTAGAAGCCAAGACCAGCAGCCCAGGGATGGCACTGCCCACAATGAACTGGACCATCCCCCATCCATCACTCATTAAGAAAATGTCCTATAGCTGGATCTTATGGAGGCTTTTTTTCTCAGTCGAGGTTCCCTCCTTTCAGATAACCAGCTGTGTGTCAAGCTGACCTAAGACTAGCCAACACAGATGCCAGCATGCACAGAATTGAGCATTCTAAACTCACACAGGTGGTGGAAGAGGAAGGGGAGAAGGAAGAAGAAGATGCTGGAATGCTCAGCTTTCCCCCAGTGATCAAGGGCTTGACTCCAGCCAGTTTTCCAATTACAGGCATCAATTGACTGTGTTTTCTAAATGTAGGCGACTGGTGGTGGAAGAACAAGAGATCCCTAGGTATTTGTCTCCGATTGTCTTCCACACAGGGAGGTCAGCATTTTCGATTCATCTACCCCCAGGTGGGCTATGAGGCCTCCAGAGGCAGCAAAGTCTCAAGAGTCCATTTTCCCACAGAGTTCTGGAGGTGAGAATCCAGTCCTGAAGGAGGATGATGGCCCTATGACTTGTTCCCATCTGAGGTTGCTGGCTGAGACATTGAAATGAGGATGTTCTGGGGTGAGGGTGACTTGTCACTGCCTGCCTTAGCCCTGGAAACTACTCTTGGCCTCCGTGATGTTCACACTCCTCACTTTCTGACCAACATGGACCATTTCCAAATCAGGGGTCATTATTACCAGGTTTGGAGGCACTCAGCATAGTCCTGGCACACACTGTTTGCCCTCAGATGTCAATAGACTCGTCTATCTGGCACGATGCTTTGCACAGAAAAAGGCTTTTCTGGAGAAATGTGCATCTCAAATAAGTGCCTCAAAACACAAATAGGATCTAGTCAAGAGTGAGCAAGTGTGGACAGCTGACAGTGACGACCAATAATGGTAAGACTTCATCTGTAGTAGCTATGTAGGCCTGCGTTGGGTGAGCAGCCAAAGAGAACCATGTTCTATGCATGACCAAAGATGCTCATGTGACTCAGACACTGAGCATACAGAGAGCTGTGTGAAGGGAGGGCATGTTACACAGACAGTGTCACTACTATCTCCGCAGTCACCCAGATGGGTGATGGATTAACGAAACAGAGATAGGACTGAGGGCCGGCCTCATTGAACTTTCCAGAGAGTACTACAGGACAACCAGCCCCCTCATCTATGAGCAAGTGTGGATGAGTGTGGGTAGCGTTTGTTTCTTTTGTCTCTTGGATCATTTCTTCTTTGCCACTGAAACTGGAATGAAAGGCTGCAGACATAAACTGTGCAAATTAAATAACATTGGGAGGAGGCTGTTCTAGTTGAAACTTACTGTCTACCCTGTTGCTATGGTTACCTCCAGCAGGTCGCCCAGTGAGAATGGCTCTGTCATCAGCAACGAATCAGGAAAGCCCAGCTCAGGGAGGCGCTCACCCCAGAATGGAATGACACAGCAGAAAGTGACAAAGGAGGAGACCAGGAAGAGAAATGGTGAGAAGCCGCCCCACCAAGTGCCCCTCCAGCCCCTCCCGTGTAAACACACATACACACACTTGCACACATATGCACACACCGTGTGCTCCCCCCCTAGGCCTCTCTGTTTTACCCCCACTAGGTCTGGAGGCCACTGGGAACTGTTGAGTGATTTCTGTGTCCTCCTCCCTGGATCAACCCTCACTCCCTCAAGCCCATATTTGTAAAAAAGGGCACACTTCCTGAGGGGGGGAATCTTTTTAGAACAAAGTGGTGCTTGCTTAGAGCTTTTTCTCATTCTTGGGTGAAATGACATGATTTCCAAGGCCAAGTCCAATAAACTGAGAGATCTCCAAAGTGAAGCTCATCTTGGTGGTTCCCCCCAACTTCCCGCCCGTAACTCAGGGTTTATTGTGTACCTGTGAGTCCAGGTACTGAAAAGTTAACTAACAGGTCTGTCATTAAAAAAAAAAAAGTATTATAATAAAAAGCAAGTCAGCCTTGCTGAGTGGGCTGTGGTATCCAGATGTAATTCAAGCTGCTTAGAAGCTTGAAGCAGAAGAATCAAAAGTTTGAGGCTGACCTATACAACTAAATGAGACCCTGCTTCTAAATTAAACATCACAGTACCCCCCAATTAATTAATTTAGCTGCATGACTCACTCTTCTGGGATACTTTAATGTTTCATTTCACTCCTAAATTAGGTAAGAGTTAAACAAGAAAACGCTTAATATAATGTATATATTTGGTTGGTTCTGGAGGTGGGACAAAGGAAGGAAGAAACTGACACCGAGTAAAATTGTGGCAAAAACAGAAGTGCATCTTTCATCGCCTGGCCAGGCTACATAAAGAATTGAGCACTTGGTATGCGAATATGGCCCCTGTGAAATAGTCAGATACTACTGCATAGTGATTTGGTTCCAATCAAAGCCAGGGTAACCAAGGCTAATTAATAAATGTTGATTTACAGACTAGTCTTGTTTTCTGCCAGGCTTATTGCACCCATGGTTCTTGTTCTCTGGTGAACATATGAACTTGAAAAGGAAGCACAGTCTTCTGCTAGCAAAATGGCTGACATAGGTCTTTGTGGTCCTATGGCCTCATTAATTAGCCTAGCTGCAAGATAATTTTAGAGCCCATTTCATGAGGATCACTTAAATATTAAGTGAGAAGGTTGGGTGTAACAGGTAGAATTTTGAAAGAATCAAAACAAACAAACAAAAACAACTTAATGGCAGGTGTGGTGACCCGGCCCTGTAATCCCAGCACTCAAGAAGCGTAGCCATGAGTTCAAGGGTACCTGTCTCAGTAAATAAGTAAAAACAAACAAGTAGGATGCTTTTCTTGGCAAGTGCAGGTACTTGACCTTCTAAACCAAATGCAATATCATATCCAGGAGGGGGTACTTACAGGAATATGGGTGAGGGGTTACTTATGGGAGCAAAGGGAACGCTCAGAGAGCTGCAACACCAAAGCCCGGCAGCATGGTAGCAGCTCACAGCTCCAGGGGACCTGGAGCACACTACACAGCCTGAAGGCAGTTCAACAGGTTGGAGACTATCCCTCCTGTTGGTTTCTTCCAGGCAGCTGGTAAGGTCTTAGTCTTCTTCACAGCTTGGCTTGTCTGAAAGTGAATCTCCACTGTGTCTTACTGTTTATTCTTGGGAGAAAGAAGTCTAGTGAATCTGGTCAGTTTCAGGGATTTCTTGAAGCTATTTTGAGTTACCCATAAACTCTAGACCTAAAATGACAATCTACATTATCATTTTGCATAACAGCTGTAGGTAAGAAACTTGTTATCAGTTTGGCAAGGTTGTTCTGACCTGGGGTCTGGCATAAAATCATAGTCATGTTGGCTTGGGGCTTAGTGACAAAAAGATGGCTCACTCATGTGTCTGTCAGTGGGAGGCCACCATACAGGGCTGCTTAAATACCCTCAGAATATGGTAAATGTTTTTTTCTGGAATAAGTGATCCAAGAGAAGACTAAGTGGAAGCCATCATGTTATTTTCTAGCGAAGGCTTGGACACAATGCACTGTTGTTAATGTAACCATCGTTTCTCTTTTGGTTACAAAGGTCAGTGCTCTCACTGTAGATATTAGTATCAGGGAGTAAGTATGGAACATCTTGGAAACCTCCTGCTATGGAAGGCCTTTGCAGGAGTGTGGGTAATGAAGGTGACCAAGCATATAAAAATACATATGCATCTAGTGACACTTCTGATAGAAATTTCTCTCTGTCATTGGCTGCTTGGTGACCTGGTATTTGCAAATCAATCCAGGAAACTTTTAAAATGTCCAATAATGACCCATTGTTAGTCTATAAGTTGTTTTAGCTACATTATAAAATAACTATTTCCTTGGTTTAATTTGACAGATCTTCTGTGATTATAATTGACATGCTATATTTCTAAATAATTTAAATAACATCTCAAGTCTCCTGACCAGGTAGGAGGAAAGATGAACACACTTTACAGTCATAGTTTGTGTAATATCTATTTTGCTTCCCAACTGCCTACTAGTTCAGTTGCTTGAACAGGCCTAATTTATCTTGCTGTCATTCTTATACCTACTTCATAAGAATACGATTTAAAAACAAGTAAATCAGTTAGATATGGCTGGACTTGAAGCAGCTTCTGTCAGCTTAGTTATGGAAGCACAAAGCCAACTTGTGTCTTGCAGCCGTCAGAGCAGAATGGTTTGTCAGATGGGAGAATTAATTTACCAGTGTGTAGGAGGCAATGAGTCCATGTAATTAGAGGAGTTGTCTGTAGCTATGAGTTAGTCTCTCTGGTAGTTATTTCATAGCTTTCTTTTGTTATAGACAAGTACAAGAATGAAAAAGCTAAGTTGTTTTTGAGAAACAGCCTTCAGAAAAAAATAAGAGCAACTGAGCAATGTATGTGGCTAATTGACCTGGGAAACTTGTCGCTTAACATTGTGCAAAAATGTGATAGCTCTGTCAGCAGAGACCAGACTGAAGGTTGTTATTGTGCCATATTGAAGGATAGATGTGGAGTTTAGCCAAACTCACTTTTCTAATTTCTATAAACAAATTTGCTTTTTATTGTTTTCAGATGTGTTCTGTCCCCATTTTGAAAGAATTTTTTCTTTCTGTTTAAGTGCAACCTTTAAAAATCTTTCCTACCCACTGATAATACAATAACTGGATAAATAGTACAGACCTTAAATTTAAAGGTAAGTCATGGGCAGAATCCAGCCATAGGCAGAGTCACACCCTCTTGTCTCTGCATTTTGAGATGCCTTCCATTTCAATCCTGCACTTCCCTGTATCTCAAAACCCATGTGTTCCGCCTGGTTTTAGTGACAGCAAGTGATGAAGAGGAGGGAGCAGGTCTCTTTGACGGCGCTGGCAAGGCAGCAGCAGAGCCCTTTGACACATCCTCGGGATCAGTGCAGCTCATCTCTATCAAACCATCTGCTCTGCCCGTGGTGCACCCTGCCTCAGACAGGGGCCAGGAGTCCTCAGCGGCACTCAATGGTGAGGTAAGCACCCATGACCTGGGTGGAGAGTCCAGCTGGACCACGGGATTCAGTGATCCCTCAACACGTGGCGAGCAGCTTGTGTCCAGTGGCCTCAGGCTCTGGAGGCCATTCGTAACTCTGCATGACGTGAAATACAAATCACGCAGAGTTAGTTTGTTGATAGCATTTTCCACCTGCAATGAAAGCTCAGAGCAAACCTTTAAAACCCCGTGATTAGACAAGCAGATATCAGAAGGCCTCCTTTCCCCAACCCCTCCTAAGTATAGTCTGCAGCCTTTCCACACTGCGCTCTTGTTCATTCAGCTCGCATTAGGATCCATGTTGTTGGGGTAATAGGAGAGGGGGAGACGGAGAGGGAAGTGGAGAACATACTATCATATGGGCAGGGAGCTGGCCACTAGAGACTCTGAAATGACATTGATTTCTGTTAGCGAGCTTGAAATAGCCCCATGGTTGCTTTCTAGGTGGTGTCAATGTCAATCAGCTTTCCCGGGGAGCTGGCTGAATTGGTAAAGTGCTTGCCATGAAAGCCGGGGATCATCATCCATGGAAAAATTGGGGCACACAAATGTGCGTCTGTGATTGTCGCCCTGGGGTGCAGAGACAGGTGGATCCCGGGGCTCATTGGTCAACCAGCCTAGCTGAATCTGTGATAAGATTTTAAAACAACTATCACGTGTATGAGGTCTTTTATTAAAGGAAATTAGATAGAGATAATAGATGATCCATAGCAGATGTTCGATCAATAGGTAAGGGAGAAGAGAGTTATCTCAGACAAAGAACAGGAAATTGAGTTGAAAATGCCATCCATCCCTCGATCTTCCTTTGGCAGTAGAACTATCCATGAGATGAAAAAAAGTGTTTATGAGTCTTTACAAATGTTAACATGGGGCCACTTGTGCATATTTACATTATACATGTATGCACATATGTGTGCATGCATGTACAGTTTCTCTGGTGTTGGGTTGATTGTTCATTTATCCTACTATTGTCCTCTGAAGCAGGTGGGAGATTTGCAAGGTCTACAGCCTCTTTCTCATCATGCCCCAAGGGACCTGCTGCAGCCCTGTACAGCTGGGTGTCACTAATGCTCACCAGAGGTTTCTTCCCCACAGCCAGGACACCTGTGACAGTGTTTGTGCACCTGTATGTGTGTTGCAAGGACTCTTTTCTGAGCAGGAAGACTGAACCGGCCTTACACTGTGATGGGCAGAGCTTCCGAAGCATGCATCACAGCACTTCTATTTTTAGTCAAAGGAACTAGAACCTGGATGGGTGAGGTGCTGACTCAAGGTCATGTTGATGGCTGGAGTTCAGTTGCCCTGTCTTTGCCTCTTTCCTCTCCTAACTTATACTCAAGCCCATCATGAGAAATAGTGTACTTAGAAAGCATGGCCTCGAAAGCTGTCTTGCCAGAGTTGGAGTGACAGCTTGTCCACTCACTGTCTCTGTGACTTAGGCAAGTGAGTAGAGTCCTTCGTGCCTCAGCATCTCTATCCACAAAATGGGCCGCTACACATAAAGCACTTAGCATTATGAATATTTTGTTTTTATTATGGTTCACTCATCGATGAGAAAGAATTAATTGGTCATGATGTGTCCTTTCTGTCCCTTAGCTCTGTAATCTTTCCTGAGGCACAGTTCTGTGTTCCCCCCACACACACCCACACAAGCCTCTGGAGTTGGCACTAATGCACTGTTAACTGCCTTAGATTAGGACTGTTTGCCTAGCTAAGGCTCTCATTATAGTCACCATACCTGGGTCTCTTTGTTGCATCCTAATGATACAAACATCATACAAACAGACTCAGAAATTAGGACAGATCCCTCTCCTCCAGGCCCAACACATTGTCCCCTGAGGAGAGCACATGAGTACCCTCATTCAGATATGGAGCTGTACTCCATTTGGGCAGTTGAAGGAGCAGACCTTGCTGGCACCTCTCTCTAATTTTGCTGTCTCACGGGGCTTGGCTCAGACTGCAATAAAAGTCTTCTCCCTTCCCTTAGGGATGGCTGATTTACATGAAAAGGGGGAAAGGCATAACCCAAAGCCATAGGTTTCTCCTTTATGAATTGCAGGGAATTCTTTTAAAGGTTATTTTAAAGAAAACATAGGACATTCAGCCACACAAACTTTTATAGCGTTTCTCTCTCTCTGTCTCTCTGTCTCTCTGTCTCTCTCTCTCTCTGTCTCTCTCTCTCTGTCTCTCTCTCTGTCTCTGTCTCTCTCTCAGGAAAGTCAAGGGTTTACAGAAACACCGTCCTAGCAAGCATCCTATGGAACCCCCCCTCCCTGGAGTAGAGCATCTAGCAAGCAGATCCTATGGAAACCCCCCCTCCCCCGGAGTGGAGCATTTGTTCTACTTTCCCAGCTCATCCATCCCAATCCACATTGAGACTCATCCAGAGAGTCCCAGCTAAGAGGACAGAGGAAGCCATAAGGTTACTCAGGACTAGAGCTAGACTCAGGGCACCAAGAACTTGTCTGGCAGCTGGGCTCCCACACTGAGGCGCGTAGGGACCAAAACAGTAAAGACTCTTGGCTAAGGGTATCCAGTCAGACATAGGACTTCAACAGGACAGATGTGGGAAGCAAAAATGTAAGATAATTCAATAAATGCCAGATCCATTTAAAATATGAAGGTGACAGATGAGGGGCTTTTGCTATCGGGTCACAATTCCCAGACAAGCTCTCCCATGCTTCACTGCTGGTCTTTCTGGTCAGCTGACCTTGTAGAAAAAGCTTTTTGTCTATTGCCATGCTGAGTCAGATGTGGACCTCAGATTCCCGCATCTCTCTCTCCCTCCTGCAAGGTGAACAAGGCTCTGAAACAGAAGTCAGACATTGAGCACTACCGGAACAAACTGCGTCTGAAAGCTAAGAGGAAGGGGTATTACGACTTCCCCCCAGGGGAAACAAGCAAAGGCCTGACAGAAAGGAAGATGTACGAGAAAGTCCCAAAGGAAATGGAGCACGTTTTGGACCCAGACCCAGAAGTGTGTGCCCCCTTTGCAGAGTCTAAAAACAGGTAGGTGGTGTACTCTATGTCCTCATGTCACAGGTGAGATGAGAGCGGAGGACACCTTGGGCATGATACCCATGTTCCCTTGATCTTGCCTTCAGACTTTGATCTTTGCAGGCTTTTTTGATCTGGGCCCCACAAGCATGCACTCAATAATGAGTCTGAGAGTCAAATTGAAGCTGTAACGACAAATTCTGGGGCAAACAACCCCAATTGTCCTTTAGCTTAATGATGTTTTCAAGCCAGTTGCTATTTCAGAGCTGGGTGAAATATAATTATCACCTACCTAGTTATGCAGCTTCCAGATCAAGGGCCACTGCATTGTTCAATTATGCTAGTGGTTCTTGCACAGGAAGGCAAATTTCATGCCCCACTCTTTCATTCAGCTTTAGTAATTGCCTATGCTGCTGTGGCTCGGCACTCCATGCTAGCTTGTCTCATTCATTCATAGATCTGTTTAGTTAGTCAACACGTCATCACCTCTAGAGTATCAGACAGCATGCTTGTGTGGTCACTGTGTGCTTCTTCTCACCCATTCCTTTCGTGTTTTACGTTGGACTAGACCTCCTAGTCATTGATCACATGGAACTTAAGGCCCGATGAAGGAAAAGGAGGAACACCTGAAAACTGTGACCTCAAACCCGAGGGGCATTTGAAGAGGGAGCTGCTGTAGCTCTAGTGGGACCCGGCCCACTGAGGTAGAGCTGGGCCAAGTGGTTTGAATTGCTTTCTCTCCATCCGCTCTTTGCTTCTGTAACAAAATACCTGAGATCGGGTGGTTTATAATTGGCAGAAGTTCATTTTCTAACAACAGTGCTGGCTAGGAAGTCTAAGGCCAAGGCACCAGGATGTGGTAAAGGTGGACTTGCTGTGTTAGCACATGGTGGAGGGTGGGAGGGCAAAGAGCGAGAGGCGGCTAAACTCACTCTTATAGTGCCATTTGTTTTCCTCACTGCTCTATTGCTGGGAAGAGACACCATGACTGGGGCAGCTCTTACCAAAGAAAGCATTTAGTTAAGGACTCACAGTTTTAGAGGGTTGGTCCATGGTCATCGTGGCAGCAAGCAGGTAGGCATGGTGCTGGAACAGTAGCCAGGGTGCTTCACATCTAGATCTGTAGGTAGTAAGCAGAAAGAGAGAGAGAGTCTGGGCTTGGCATGGGCCTTTGAAACCTCAAAACCTACTCCTACTGACACACCTCCTCCAACAAGGCCACACCCACTCCAACAAGGCCACACCTCCTCATCCTTCCCCAACAGTTCCATCAACAGGGGACCCAACAATCAAATATATAAGCTTATGGGGTCCGTTCTCATTCAAACCACCACATCACTGATGTGCCCCATGAGACTCTGCGGCCAAAATCACTGGTCAAATGTTCTACCTCCTAACACTGGTAAGACAGCAGAAAGTTTAAATTAAATATTTTATTTCTTATTCATACATGGCATGTAGTGCAATTGTATCCAAGTCACCACCCATTCTTTTTCTTCCAATTCATTTGCATCCCCCCACTTTGCCCTCTGAACTTCCTGTACTCTCCCTTTTTTCTTTTTCAAATATAGTATCTTCTGAGTCCATTTAGTACAGCCTGTATGTGTATGGGTATGGAACCATCTATGAGAGCATAGGTAGGTAGCCTGCATCCCTGAAGATAAGTGACTCTCCCTCTCCCATTAGCTATGGGTGGGACTTAATGAACCTCTCTCCCATCCATTCTGGGATTTTAACTAGCTGGATCTAGTCTGGGTGTGCAGTCATAGTATCTATGAGTTCATGTGTGTGACTACACTGTCATGTCTAACAGAGATCTGCTACCTCTGGCTCTTATAATCCTCCCACCCCCTCTTATTCAACGAGGGAACTTGGTGTGGCACAAATGTGCCATTTAGAGATGAGTACTTCCCTGTCTCTTGTTCTTTGCATGTTGACTGGTTGCAGGTCTTTGAAGAGAAGCTTCTCTGATGAGGGTTGAGTGATGAGAGATGTACTAATCTGTGAGTATAAAAGTCAGAACTCATGGGTCCTGGATGGAGAGATGGCTGAGTAGTTGAGAGCACTTGCTGCTCTTTCAGGGGACCTGGGTCTGGTTCACAGCACTCACACTGCCGTTCACTTTTGTCTGTAACGCCAGATTCAGTGGTTCTAATGTCCTCTGGCCTCTGTGGGTACCAGGCATGTATGTGGTGCATATACACACAGGTATAACACTCATACACATAAAATGAAAATAAGTGAGACTATTTTTAAAAGAACCCAGGGAGTAATTGCTTACTATGTCCATTTAGCAGAACAATAGTACTAGGGTCTCCCCTTGGAGCTAGGACTAGGCAGCCACAGGTTTTTGGCAGGGGCCATCTTATGTAGTGGGCTCTAAGTCCAATAAAAATGTGTTTGATTCCTCTCATGATATTCTTGCCACCAGTGCACATATCTTGACAGGTCAGTCATTATTGTAGCTCACAGAGTTCACAGCAGGGTACGACGGATGATGACCCTAGCCTCCAGTGTCTATAGAACCTTCCAGCACTGTGAAAGTTAGCCAGTAGAGATGAAGATTCCAGGAGCGACCACACTTCGACATGAATTTTAGAGAAGGAAAATGTTCAAAGCATGACAGCTGTCTCCAAGCTCTGTGGCTGACTAGGCAGAGGCCTCCCACATTGGGCAAAGACATAAAAGGAGAGCAAAGCTTGCCGTGTCCACCTTTCTTCCTTTCCTGCCTGCCCGCAGCACTTCCATAGTTCGAGACCACCTCTTCCCAGGGTACCTTCTCCTTGGTGGTTCCCTGGATCTGGACATGCTGAAACTGCAGCCACCATGAAGCCACAGCAGGGTACATGTTCCACACACCAGAAAGAATAGGGCAGATCCTGGCCTGGATAGATATTTGCTTTAAAAATGAAACACAAATTTTAAAACAATACCATTCAACAGAATTAGGTGGAAGCAGCAAGACAAGGTTGGGAACCGGGAATAAACTGAACCAACATAATGTATTTTCAGTAAAGGAAACAGGGAAGGGGGAGAATTCTAAGCCAGGGCTTAATTTGCCAGGCTTGGCTGGCTGGTATGACAAACCGAGGACATAAAAATCACAATGTGACAGGGTTCACAATGCACATGTCACCATGTTAATGACTGTAGGAGGAGGGAAAGAAAAGATCTGGATTTGACAGGGAGACTGGTAGCCACTTTTATTTTGCACGTTGCTCTTGGGAGACTCTGCTTCGGGGTTCTCTGATGGACTGGGATGGGAGCTGTTCTTGGGTTCCTTGGCTTGAAAGCTACTGGACAGACACCACTTTCAATGACTTTTTTTTTTTTTTTGAGCAAAGCTTTTCCCTAGGAGCTACGTCTAGACTCTTCAACATAGGTTCAGGCCTAAGGTTCCCTTGATGGACTGTAGCTGATGGATGCAGGTAGTTATCTCTCAGCAGGTGTCCATTGAGGAAATGATTCATTGTCTCCTTCAAGTGTTCACTACTTAAGGAAAGAAGAGAGCCATGAACCAGATGGGCTGGGGAGAGGCATGAGATGGAATGGAATGCGATGGGATGGTAGAGAAGCTAACAGAAAAGAAGGGACTTAGAGCTGTGGCTCGGGGTGTGGCTCCAGACAGCTGTGGCTCGGGGTGTGGCTCCAGACAGCTGTGGCTCGGGGTGTGGCTCCAGACAGCTGTGTACTGCTTATCTGTTGTTACAGGCTGGAGTCACCTGCTAATTGTTGTTCACACACAACCCTCAGAGACGCTGCTGTGAGGCACCCACTTAGAGCAGGGCACAGCAAAGCGGTCGTTGTCTGATGTGCAGGGACATCATTAATTCCAGAGCGAAGGAACAGGAAAAAAAAAGACCAAAAAACTGAGATTCTAATGTTCACTGGTCACCAAATCTTCCAAAATAGTTTCAAAGTTCTTTTTCTCCTTAAAATAGGTTAAAGAACCCTATTTTACATTGTACATTCTTGGGGAGACAAGGTGGACAGTCTGACTAAGGCTGATGCCCCATCTGTGGCCGAATTTATCTGTTCAGCTACCTTTACGCCTGCCGTCTGCAGCCTTTGTAATTCATTCTCTTGGATTTTTCTCAGAAGCCAAAAAATGCTGTGTAGCTAATGTGCTGTGGCAGATCCTCAGCTGATGACGGATTAGAACTGATAGATCAGTGCCCTGGCAAGGGATTCTGGGGTGTCGGTAACACTGCTGTAATAGCTATAGTTTCTAGCTCTGTGTTTGATGCTTATTCGGGGAGCAGGTGGAGAAATTCCTTCAGGATTACCCAATGCCTGGTGACTCACCTGGAAGTGTGATTTTCAGATGGAAACGCATACCTCCATCACCTCCTTTAGATGGCCGCCCAGAACTCTCGTTCTAGGCCAGTATCCACCTGCCTGGATCACCACGATCCGAAAGCCAAGCATTTGACTTTGTGCTTCTGGAGTCTACCAAACTGGTCCAAACCAGCTCTTCCCATGCCTGCTTCCCCTGCCTTGCCCAGTGCATCTCCCAGAAGCCACACTTAAAGGCTTTTGCTCACACTTTCTCCTCTCTCCTCTGCCTTCTGATCTGCCTGGTCACTGTGTACCCCGCCCTTACGCCCATCATGGCCTGGATCTTTCCCTGAGCTCTGTGGGTGTAATGAACTGTCTTTCCAGTGGCAGGCATCTCCTTCCTTGGAGCAGTAATGTGAAAATATCATCCCCCACACATTTCCAGGGAGTGAGCCCCAGGCATCCTAAATATGAATCAACTCTGTTGACTTCCTCCCATCCTTTCCTCATCTCCCCTTCCCCTGACTGTAGCTTCCAGAGCCACCTCGAAAAGCAACCATTTGCATCCAAATTCTCATAGATCATCTTCTATGGGGCCAGCACAAGGCAGTAACCTTGTCAGTAATCTGTTCAGAGTTGCTTTGACAGCCCAACACCCCCCCAACCCCCAACAGCCTAGGCTCTCTCTACAGAACCCCTGAGTTCCATAGAATATGGTTTGAAACTGCTTTCTTAAACTCGACTGGAAGTTAAAATATCTTAAAAGTTCAAGTAAAACACATCATAACCCACCCAGCAATATTGTCAGGGGAGACAAAAAAAACTCAAATTGACATGTTATAAATTATAGCAAAATGAAAACAAGTGTGCCTAGTAGAATCAATTGATTAAAATAAGCATCTCTTTATAGGACAGCCTGAGTTATCATTAAGTCACACCAGGCACATGTCCACATTGGAAGTATGGTCATTGAAACATTGTGCATAATGATCTAATGAGGTAACTCAACCCTAGGGTAGCACTTGCTTAGTATGTGCAAGACCCTGGGTTCAATCCCCAGCACTGCTAAAAAAAATGTTAGCCATCCTAATGCAATGTTTTCTCTGAAGGTAGAATAAACTGGTGGGTGTTCCACTGTCTAAGCTTTTAACATATTCATGTTCCTCACTGGTATGTTTAATACTTGTTAAATAACCCACTGTTGATTGCCAATCTGCCGGCTTATTCTGCCACCGCTCTTATTAGTAAATCTTTTCTTAATGGGCTAATTGACAGTGGCTGGGTAGCTAAAAAAGTGTGATTATTTTTTTCCAAAAGCACAGTTGTAATTAAGTCAGGTATGTAAATTCTTTGAGATCTGCTTTAAGATATGAGTCACTCTGAACATATTCAGCCTCACCAGCCTGCTGTGCTCAGGCCCCTTTTCTAAAGGAAGTCTCTAGTTGCAGACAACTGGAGGGTAAGGTTTATAATGTGAGGTTGTAAGCTACCATATTAGCCAGGATTCTTTTGGTTGCTAAAAATGGAAATCCAACACAAACTGGCTAAACAAAAGGGGACTGAATTGTCAAGTATTAGTGCAAGGCCAATGCTTTAGTCTGGCTAGATCAAAGGAAACATACTGATTTTGGTTTTGCTTTCCTTTCACTCTTTCCAGCCTCTTTTGAAGGCAGGCTAAAACCTCATGATGACAAAAACCCAGCTGTCAGACACCCTAGGTTTGTGTCCCTCAAATCTAGAAGATTCCCTCTTTCCTAATTGTTGTGGCTTTAGCCCCAAGACTCAGTCTCATTGGACCCAACTTAAGTCCTGTGCCCACCCTCCTGACCAATCACATGGATGTAGCGATATGATTCTGTCCTGGTCCAATATGAGGCAGTACCTACTTCTGCAGGAAAGGCAGCTCCCAAGAAGCACCATGCTATTTTACCAAGGGGTAAGTGTAGCACAAATTCTAGTTGGTATTAATAATAAAAACCCAGAGGCAGATATTGGGGTTAAAGCTGAAGATCAGAGAAGCAAAGCAGTCAGCCACTAAAGAGTTCTCACCTCTACCAGTGCTCAGACCAAAGGGGTGATCCTGTCCTCAGACTGCTCCTGACTGCATTGCTCCTCAGACTCACTGAGCTCCTATCTCCTCCCGCCTTAGAGCATTGGGATTAAAGGTGTGGGATCCCAAGTGCTGAGATCACCTTTGTGTGAGCTCTGTTTCTCTTTTAGACTGGATCAATTTCGTGTAGCTCAGGGTGTCCTTGAACTAACAGAGATTCATCTGCCTCTTTGGGAAGTAGCTGAGCTGGCACCTTGAACAAGCTACTGCTACCTGAGCCTGAAGAGCTTTGTGCTCACTTCAGAGACTATCTAGAACTCAGCTAAAGGGTGACTTCCTTGAAGAGGAAGGCCTCCTCTGACTTCCTATTTACCCACTGCCTGAGCGTCTTATTTTTATTTGTGTGTCATCCTTAAATATCTACCCACCATGTGTTGAGACAAGGTCTCTCATTAACCTGGAACTTGTCAACTTGTCAAATAGGCTAACGTGGCTAGCCAGTGAACCCCAGGGGTCCTCCTGTCTCTGCCTCCCAAGTGCTAGGATTACAAGTATGCTTCACCACACCTGGATTTATTATTATTATTATTATTATTATTATTATTATTATTATTACTAGTGTATATTCTGGTACTTGAACACAAGTCCTCATATTTGCAAGACAAACACCTTACTGAGTCAGCCACCTCCCCAGTCCTCCTTATTTTTATTAATAGCACTAATCACTCTGAAGTTAGTTTCAGTATGTTTCCCCCACTGGGATACAAACAGTAGAAGTACCAAGGGATACTCAGTTTCCAATTACTTAGCACATACTAGGCACTCAGTAAGAAAATAAATAAATATTTTTTTAATTAAAAAATTGGTGACTGGTTGGCTGGCTAGCTGAATAGGCCCCAAGTTGTCTCCATGCCTTATTGTCTTTGCCAAGGAGAGAGTCTGCATGGTAATTGTAGAAAAGAAATCCATCCATGATGATAGCATTAAAAGTAGTCCATTCTCTACAGGCTTCATTTACTAACACATTGTAGGAGTCCATGCCTAAAATCTAAAAGATGAAAAAGGAACAGGAGGCTGCCAAGTCAGCAAAGTCAACAGAGGCGAGTTTGTTCTGCAATGTTAACTGTGCTGGAGGGTCAACAGAGAGCCCTTGGCCTTGCCATCAGCAGAATTTTAGATGAAGTTGCACTACTCCAATTGATTGTAGTTGCCTAATTTGATATGAAAGAACACATAATTCAGCCAAATAGTTATAATGTCTTAGGCAGCTCATGGGGGTGGGGTCCCTTGTCTCCCCACTCTCCACCCCCCTCCTCTGACAGCCAGAGACTGAGTACCATCAGTTCCGAGTTTCTGAGACCAATCCAAAGCCTCTACCGGTTGCCTGTAGGTTTGGATCGGTGGAGAATTCCATCTGTCGGGGCATTTGCTGCATCATAACAGTTGTTGGATTTCCTTCAGGCAACAGATGAAGAACTCTGTCTACCGAAGCCGGCAGTCTCTGAACAGCCCGAGTCCAGGAGAAACCGAGATGGACCTTCTGGTCACACGGGAGCGACCCCGGCGTGGAATCCGGAACAGTGGATACGATGTAAGTGTCTGGTGAACTGGGGTAGATCAAGCTTTCCCCAGAAAGCCAGGGATACAGCATCCTAGAGTGTTCCAGTTTACCACGTTCGGGGAGTTTCAAGATGTCCTGCAATGTTTTTGTTTGTTTGTTTTTATGTTATGGGGGTTGGGTGTTACTGGCAGGGGAGATGGTTGCTGTTTGTTTGTTTTCCTCCTTTGCAAAGTAAGCTACTTGGAATGTGTGAGAGTGATTGTGATTTCTAATTGTTCTATTCTGCAAACAGTGTATTATTGACCTGAAATTCAAGGCGGATTGTAAATGGTCTTAATTCCTTCCCCTTTACCAGTAGCAATACATTAGAGTTCATGGAACACTGACTGCTTTTCATCGATAACCGTTTTGAAAATTTGGATTTGTTCCTGATTTCATAACTTCTTAGTGAGCCATAGAAACAATGATATGTCCAACAGCGAGAGCTGACTCCATGTGACAGGCCTGGGCTCAGTGATGTGTCTAGACTGCAAACACTCACTCCTTCGTCCCATCAGGTTTCTCCAGATGAGGAGGTTCTATTCAGTGCCTACCCTCAAGGTGGAGTCGTCCTGAACTTGGAGTTGCACCCATGAGCTCACGTGAACTGATTCCACACTTAAGGTGGACATGAACACTGCTCTTCTCCTTACCCCACCATTTCAAAGAATCCTCAGTAATCACAATTTTATATTAAAAATACTTCTTTCCCATTCCCTTAAATATTTTTTAGTTACAAATTAATTTTTCTCTAACAAGAGTAATAATTCAAATATTGGAGCAACTTACAATTTGAGAAGTGGTGATTTGAATAGGACATTTCATTTTTTAAATATATCTTGCTGATTTGAAGACAAGAAGACTTTTTTTCCTTTTGAGAGTAATCATTGTTTGGAATAAGCACTTAAAATGGGCTTTTTAAATGGTCCAGTTTAAAACAGGTCATTTGAATCTCTGAAGATCTTTCTTGGTTGAAATCTAATGTTGTATTGATGATGGGTTCATCTCTTTTCTCAAGTGCTGAGGACTGTGCCCAGGGTCTTGTACTCAGTCAGCAAACACTCTGTCGCTGAGCTATGACCCTGGTCCACTCATCCTTTTTCCTCAGTGATTCTAATCATGTGTTTCTTTTTCACAAAACAGCTTGAGATTTTCACGTTACAAAATTCTAGACACTCTGACCACATATTTTGATGTTACATCTTTGCTGTTCTGCTAAGCTCTCCTAACAGAGACTATTTCTGGCTAGGGAAATGTCTCAGTGGGTGACAGTGTCTGCTGTGCAGACAAGGGAATCTGAGTTTGGATCCTCAAGCACCTATGATAACGTCAAGCATGGCTACCTGTGACTTCAGTCCTGGAGGTCATTGGCCGGCCTAACCGAAAAGATGTGCTTCAAGTTCAATGAGGGACCCTGTCTCAAAAAATAAGGTGAAGTAACTTGAGAAATGGCTCAGCAGTTAAAGTACCTGCCACACAACTGGGAATATGGGAGTTCAAAGCCCCAGAAACCCAACTACATGCCACATAGACATGACAGCTTGTGAGTCAGGAGGAAGAGGCAAAAGAGCCCCAAAACAAGCTGGCTAGCAAGACTTGCCATGGCGATGATCCCTGAGTTTGACTGAGAGACCCTGCTTGGATGAATAAGGTGGAATAATAATAGAGGAAAACTCCCTACATCAACCCCAGGCCTCCACAGGCATGCACATATATGTGCATTCCCATACACACTCAAACACACACATATATATATATACATACACACACACACACACACAAATTACCTCCCACATATGCACACAAATAAACAAACAAATGAGAGCCCTGGCTTTAGAAAAATCAGCCTGAGTTTTAAGTTTTCCTCCTTCCACCCCTGTCAAGAGGCCAAGGACATCATTCCTAGAAGCTTGCTTAGTTTAGGGAACATTTTCTTCCACTCAAACCCTGAGACATACTAGGCTCTTTATTCAAGACAACTGTTAGTAGATTTCTTGTAAGAGTCTGGGCAGAGACACTTTTATAGTTACGTGTGGTGTGTGTGTGTGTGTGTGTGTGTGTGTGTGTGTGTGTGTGTGTGTGTGTGTGCTTTTCTTTGAGAATTACATGTTATCTTTAAAACATTCTTTAGGGAAAAATACCATAGGAAATAATCCTAAGACTTTAGACTGTGGACTAAGGATGCTCTCTCTGGGCTCTTCTCGAGCCTTTCCACTGGTCACGAAATGTAGTTCTACTTTCTTGGCTGCGCAGTGCAGACCGAGTCCTATTCTGCTTGCTATGTGTTCTAGAGAGGTGAATTTTCATGGTTTCCAGTCATTATACCCCTTGCCCAGCAGAGAAAACTGAGGCTCAGACTAGATCCACAGTTTGTCTGCCTCTCAGAGTGCATGCTGTTAACCAGCATGCGACATAATTTCTCAATACCCGCTTCTAGCTATGTAGCTGATCTCATGTAAGACATCCCTGTATTTCTAAAGCTCTGTGGTTAATCAGATGCCAGGCCTCATGGGAATCCTTATGTAGAAAAGCTTACATATAAATAAAAAGATCAGCAAATAAAGAAGAGAAAGAAGTGAGTGATAGTTTTAAACAATGCATTCCTTTTCCAAAAGTTCCAAGGCACTCCTGGCCAAAAAAAAAATCCATTAGTCCCACAGTGAACCTGTCACTTGATTGGAAATGTGCCATTTGGCCTCCTGGGTCTGGAGATCTCACACTGGGCCAAAATTTTTACTCCTTTCTGCCAGGTTAAAAAACTCAATGCTGTGGGGGTGGAAATCAGGAAGATTGATTTAATTTTGAATTTACCAAACCTTGACTAGTTCAGAATCCCAAAGGAAAACCCTGCACATAAGAATAAATGAATAAATACACAAATAAGCAGGTTAAGTGTACTGCACAAGCAAATCTTAGCCACAGGGTGGAAGGCAGCCTGGGTTGTTCCAAAACTCCCATTACCTCTTTCCAGCCCACCTCCATCCCCTGGGGCTTGGCCTCTTGCTTTGGACCCAGGGCCCCCCACTAGTTTTTCCACCACTGCCAGTTTCAGCCCTTCCTTCAAGGATATCTCCATTCATTTGTGACTCTTGATGACCCACAGATCCATTCCATCCTAGGGACCAACAGCTGCCACACTAGGCTAGGATGCATATTCAGCATCACTTGACCCACATCAGAGAAATCTCTTCTTGCAGTAAATTGCAATTAACGCAGGGGCTCACAACTGGACAGTGTGCAGAGAGTGAAAGCCTCTGGAGTACTCGGCACTAAATAGAATGTCTTTATCGACCCCCTCCCCTCAAGGCTCAGGGTTCCATCCAGAGGAGGAGGTGAAGACTGTAAGAACTAGAGGTGCCGGATAACCCCAAGGAAATAGTCTGGAAGACTCCAGACACAACAGGACTGATCCACATATGAACTCACACAGACGATGACACATGTTAATACCTGCACAGGTTCAAACCATGTGGAATCTCAGCACGGGGGAGGGGAAGTAGACACAGTCCCACCTCTAACCAAGAAGCTATGAGCCGTTAATAGCTGCCAGGAAAGGGGAAATCAGCTTTCTCCAGTGGAGTGACGCTGGGTGAATCAATCACCCTCCAGGCAGGTCTCGTGCCCAGGAGTAGTTGACTAACACAAAACAGACTCCATGTTTTTCTGTGTGTGCTCTTTCCTGTATTTGGTAATTTTTGTTGTATTGGTTTGTTTTGAGAGAGATGTTGGATGGATAGGGAGGTAGGGAGGATCTTAGAGGAGCTTCAGGGGGGAAGAACATGAACAAAATATATTGTGTGAAAGCAATCTAATAATAAATAAATAGTAAAGGAAAAGACTTTCCGTGTAGCAGGAGCTGTTGGCTCTGCAGAGGGGAGAGCACAGAGAGAGAGTGGAGCTGCCATGCTTTACAGCAACAGTTCTGAACTTCCTCACTCCATCAGCCAGGGCACTGAGTGACTGTGACCTAATTAGTAGTCATTTTCTAAGAGGACACACTCACGATAAAAGGATGAATCGTATTTAAAAAGATGTCCTAAACTGATCACTCTTAACAGGCAGACTACATAATTAAACCACTTTTGGCTTTGAACTTAATTTCTCCTAATGCATATAGTAGGTAGAAAACATAATGTCACACTAATGTAGAAAGGGGAAAATAACCTCTCAAATTTAAAAAAAACGTCTGTGAGTGTGTGTGTGTGAATGCACGCATGTTTGTTGTGAATGGTGCATGTGAGTGCGCATGTGTGTACGCACCTGTGTGTGTAGGTGCTTGCACCCATGTGTACCTGTGTGAAGGCCAGAGTAGGACTTGAGGTGTCTTCCAGTATCACTCTCCACCCTATACCCACCCTTCCCCCAAGACAGAGTCTTTCACTGAACTTGGAACTCACTGTTTTCCATGTAGGCTGGCCAGCAAGCCTCAGTCATCCCCGAGTCTCCACACCACCTACCCCTTGCCCTGGGGTTACAGGTGCGTATGGTCATGCCTAGCTCCTTTAAGAAGGATTTTTTTTACTGTTCATTCATTTGTTTCTTTGCTTTGCAATACTGGGTAAGTAACCCAAACTTCATACATGCTAGCTAGTTGATCACCGAGGTACACTACCAGCCCGATCTGGGAAGCAGATAGGCACACTACTTTCTGTAACCCTATCCTGGCTGGCCTTGAACTTGCTCAAAGCATGTGCTCTCTTTGTGGGACAGAAATGCCTACAAGGCCATTGTCTCAAGCTGCCAGACCTTGTCTCATCTCAGATAAGGAAGGTGAAGCAGAAGCTGAAACTTTACCATCTTTATTGTCTATGGCCCCTTCCCCTCCATGTCTGCCTAGCTGGGATCTGTCTGACCCCCAGTTCCTCATTATATGTTAATTCCCTTAGATTTCCCTCAAATGCTTTGCCTGAAGTTCCATATTCTGGAGCTGTAGGTGGGCCCTGACAGTTTTACTTGTGACATTTTTCTTTGTGGTGGTGACAAAACAGTAT